CATAAATTTTACACAGAAAGTGTAAAGAAAAGCTTACAGGAAAAACAACTGGAATACTTTAAATGATATTGAAAGAATTAATCATGCGATGCAATCAGACTCTATAACTAAGACTGGCTTTTGCAGAATGCCCTACTATGACTGCACTGTAGGCATTTCCAGAGGTAAGAAAAGAAACTGATGTTAAATACTGGATCACAGAATCACAGAATCACAGAATCGTAGGGGTTGGAAGGGACCTCCAGAGATCATCGAGTCCAACCCCCCTGCCAAAGCAGGATCCCTACACCAGGTCGCACAGGTAGGCGTCCAGGCGGGTCTTGAATATCTCCAGAGAAGGAGACTCCACAACCTCCCTGGGCAGCCTGTTCCAGTGCTCCGTCACCCTCACCGTAAAGAAGTTCTTGCGCACATTGGTGCGGATAAAGTTCAACAAAGTTTCAGTTTTCTAGCAAAGAATCTACATTAATTAAAAATACTTCGTAGATAGAGTAGCTGCAATCTGTGATTTGATATGATAAGCATCTACCTGAAAACTCATTTTAGTGTTGTTTAGTATTGTTTAAAGATGTTGATTTAATTTTCACGAGTCAGCAATGGATTTGGGCAACTTTGGTGGAATTCCATTGGCTTCAGCAAATGTGTATTGTGAAATGCACCTTACCTTGTTCCATGTTTCAGATTCTTACACATTCTGATAATTGGAAGGACAACAATTTACTCTTGGAATAAAAACTAACACTGCATAAATAACCTGCAGTTGTCGCCATCTTCAACATCTCTCTGTGCTGGCTGATATGCAAAAGCACAGAAGAGCATACAAGCCAAGTGAAATCCTATGGATGAGAGAAATTTTATCATTTTAGATGCAGTATCAGAGATGTGATTTGTAGATTTGATAACACTCAAAATTCTTTGCCTTTTCCACCAGTTTGTTATTTGGATCCCTGTAGTAAGCAATGAATTTTTGACATCACTTTTTTTTTTTTTTTTAAAAACAGTGACAAACAACACAGTTTTAAATATGTAGATTCTCCAGATCAGAGAATGCAGAGATGCAGTTCTGTACCAGGTACTTTGAAAAATGAGGTTCTTAGGGATAAAAATTTTGTTTTGCATTGGGATTAAAGACTGTGGAAACAGTTTTAACCTTGGCATTCATTACTAAGTACCCTAATGCTCTCTCCCATCATTGTTTAGAACAGTTGTTATACCACTTAATAGACAACCAAAACTTCACAGCTAGCTTGATTTGAATGATGCTGTGTGCATATTGGTTTAATATAACCTTGAGCTACCCTTTGGGCAAAGAAGAGTTTGAAAATTAAAAAGCTCATATCTTTAGGAATACTTTAGCCATCAACAGAAAAGATTTTATACCAACCTGAAAGATGGATTTTTAAAATCTCATTTAAGAAGTTATATATTTTACTTACTAATATTGCTCAATGAAAACAAAAAAGAATTTCTTATAGAAAAAAATTGCTTTAAATGACACAGTTGAACAGAAAGACTTGTGTGCCTTATGAACTATGAAGCAGTTCCAGACTGCTTATACTCTGCCTTAAAGCTGTGTATTTTTCTCTGTACTTATGCAATGCACTTATATTGGAAGGCCCTCTTAAAACTGGGTGATCTATTGGTTTAGGGAGCTAAAGATTAATTCCAGATGTGGTCATGCTACTCTAGCCTTTCAGAAAGTAACTACTGCACCATCTGTTTTGTAATAGACAATTTCAAAGAGTGCCAAGGGGGATGTTAAAGACATTGGTCAAATGGCCACATATACCTCACACACAGGAATTCTAGAGGTCACAGTGCCTCAGAAAGATTCATATTTTCACTTCCCCACTCCTCCCCATTCTTCCAATATGAAAACTGAAGGAACAGCTCTCTTTCTTCCAAAAATAGGAAGGAAATGTTTTCCAGATTATTAGCAGTGTTGACACATTTGAATCCAAATTCAGACCTAAATTCAGTGGAATGACTGGAATTCATGGTGACATATCTGTTATACCTGCCTCTCTTTGGGATCCTTGTAAGTTATTCCGAACAGCTTTGTTTTGTTTTAAATGAACTCAGTAGCAGGAGGTTAATGATAAACTGACTAAATCTGGCTGGGGGCCCAAGATAAATGAAGGGTACAACAAGTAATGAAGGGTTATTCCAGATCGTGATAATTCTCCCTGGTTATTTCAGGAAGCGTGAAGTAAAGCAATTGTGTGCATTTTTTTAAACTACAGTGTTACGCATCAATACCTAAATCTCTGGTATATACCACAGATGCACTCAGGTGTAGCTAAATTCATCAGAACTGTAAAATAGGAATAAAAGAAGTTCTCTCAGCACTTCCTAAGTATAGATTTGAACTTAACAGCAGTAATTCATGATCTATACAAATAATCCTACAAAAAGGTCTAAAATGAAAACAAAATGAAACAGAAGATACACCATGAGTTAGACAGTCACAGTCTTGTGCAGTTCCGAAGAGTCATTTTTGTTGCAGTGATACTAAGTAAATCACTGGTAAAAAGAAATTAATAAAATTAACAATATGTGAACAGTTCATTCCTATTTGGTTTTCCTGACATATCCAGGTAGGTTCTGTAACAAATTCTGTGATCAATTATTATAAAATTGGTTGGGACTAGCAGACTGGTGTTCCTACTTAAGTTTCATTCGCTCTGCTGTGTTTCTCTCAGTTCAACAGCACAATGTAAAATTAGTACCTTAAATTGTAAGCCTTGTGCCTGGGTAAAGTTCAAAGTAAGGCAGGTAAGAAATAAATTAATAGGAACAGCAGTTCCTTAGCGTTTGCCCCTCTTGGACTTTGTTTGAATTTGTAAGTCAGTTTCTATTGCAGTGCTATAAGGGAATTCTGTACAGGAAGATCTGCACTTTTTCAGTATTAAATGATACTAAACAAAGAACAGTTGGAAAACAGAATAGGAAATGTCTGCTTTGGAGGTCTTTATCACAGCCTTTAAAATATCACCTTAAAGTATCACCTAAGATGCTAATATACATATGGATGTGGGAGGATGCACACACATCTGTTCACAAAAGCAAAGACCGCACCTTAGGATGAGATTTAATTTAAAATATTAGACTCAATAAATGACACTTAGAACTATCATTACATTCTGCAGCTACTCAGGAAGAAAATGGCACCTGAAACAAGGATCCAAAATAACCAATATGTTAGGGGAAAAATGATGTGGACAGAGATTAAAGGAATCATTAAGAAAAGACAGTTTTGAAATCCCAGCATTTACAGAGCAAATGTGTTTAATCCAGGTCTTTGGAAACATCTCTAATGTCATTTTGCATAGGTACCCATACTCATTAAAAAAAAAAAAAAAAAAAAAAAGCCAAGCAAAAAAGTAGCAATCTTAATAAAAATCACTTTTCCAATCCAATAAACTGTTCCTGAGTCTGGTCTTCTTGGAAGAAAACAACCCCAGATCTAAGAGATATTTGTGGATAGTTTTTGTTGGATGATGATAGTACACCTCAGTTTTTCTTAAAAACTGTTAACTTCTTTTGTTGGTCCTCAAACACACTGAACGATTTTAAGAGTCACATATGCTGTTATACTCCTAGGCCAAATTTTGCCTTTAAGTCACACAACACAGAGCTAAGGCCTGAGCCATCCTTTCAAGCAAGCTCAAGAAGTGGCTTCGGCAAGTCATTAGCTGGAATCCAAGGAAAATCAAGAAACTTCAAATCTGTAACTAACTGTTCTTTCCTCATTCCATAGTGGACCTCACTCCAAATCCAACTCCAATTCTAAGAATAAATCCTTCAGAGCTTACTGTTTTGTGAACTGAGACGATAATTTGCTCCAGCTGAGCTCATCCACTCATCTGCTTGACTATGAGGACATGATATCCATGACACATCTTTTGCGCCGGAAAAATGTGCCAGCCACTTGCTAGCCATTGGCTAGGTTATCCACAATTTGTCAAAATTATCTATTTTGTTTAAAATGTAAAGATCTGACATTACGCAGCCCAGATAAAAGAGCAAGCTTTTTATTTACTTGACTTGAGTTCAATTTGTTACAGTAGTTAATCATTCACAAGCAAAAGAATAGAGTTTTAAAAAATAACACATTTGTTCCTCACAGCAGAGAATTAAGACATGGTGTACTGTTTAAGAAGTACAAAATGCATACTCCATGGGCTCAATTGTGTTTCTGCAGCACATCTTGAAAAACTTTGTTATCACTGTAACTTTCATTGCACAGTAGGAAACTGTGCTACTGCTTTCTCCTTATAAGTTGGTGCCAAGAATTATATGTAGGAAGGCCTGTTTCCATTCTCAGTGATCTTTTGGAATGACAGGATACTAGTTCTAGTTCTTATTTTGAAAACTTTTTTTTTTTTTTTTTTTTGCATCTAGTCAGGATGCCACCACCTGCCCATACCGCAGATACCTGTTGCCCCCTGCAAGCTCCACGTCTCCACAAGCAATTACGCATTTCCCTCTTTGGTGTGATGGGAGAAGGAGCTGTTTGCTGGCCAGGGGGTCACAAGCGTGGTCTGATGAACAGTACAGAAATAATGCTGGCCACAGGGCCTGGGGGCACAGCTGTGCTGGTAGCTGTGCCAAGGTCTCCCTAGCATGTGTCCTGCTGTGCTGCCTTTACCACTAGCTCAGTTCCTCAGGAGAGCAGCGGCTGAAGGCCTGCAGCTGTCCGTGGGGAGACAGGTGACACGGGGAGGCAGGTGGAACCATGCCACCGCAACTCCAGAAAGGTTTTCAACAATGCTGTAATAGATTCTGGGCTTTGAAATGTTAGATATACCTATGATAAATACGTGATGTATGACAAGTGCCGTGCACTGAACGCGTAACATCTGCAACCACTTGCAAAGGCGGCACCCATCTCAAAATCTGCCTCTTGAGGTCCTGTTCCGAGAACTACAGGCCGTTCCAAACCGGCCTCCCCGAAGCGCAGCCCGGCCCTGCCTAGAGCCCGGGGCCGCGCCGCAGCCGCAGGCCGCAAGGGGCGGGCCGGGCCCAGGCGCGGGGGCCGCCGGGAGGCCGAGGGCGCCCGGCTGGGGACGGCGGCTCCATGAGCTGCCAGGTGAGTGCCGCCGGGCGGGCGCGAGTGGGCCCCGGGCAGCCGGCTGGTCTCCAGCGGAGGCCTTCTCGGTTCCCGCGGCAGAAGCGTCGGGCGGAGCCGCCTGCAGCAGGCGCGGATCCGCAGTCGCCTACAGAAACGTCCCTTCCCCCTGTCGTCCCCAGGTGACGGTGCTGTACTTTGCCAGGAGCGCGGAGCTGGTGGGGCTGCGCTCCGAGAGCGTCTCTGTGCCGCAGCGGATCACCTCCCTGCAGCTCTGGGAAGAGATTGTTAAGATTCATCCCAGGTATCGGGGAAAGCGCCGCGTACAGGCGCTGCGTAAAGCCTAACGTTCGTGGGGTGGAGGGTTTTTGTTTTGTTTTTGTTTTGTTTTGTTTTTGTTTTAAGAAGTAGGAGTTCATCGTATAGGCTCGAGCTAGAGGCTGCGCTTTGGCATCAGAACAGCAGCGAACTTCGCTTTGTGTTGTAATAACCTCCAGTGAGCGTTTTGGCTGTGGGCCAGTCGCAAATACTGCGGCTTTACATCTACGCTAAAAAGGCTAAATCCGGTAAACGTACCCCACAGCTGGGTATTGGAGAGGTCTGAGGTCCTGTTGTCTCTCCTCCAGGAGAGCCTCTGCAAAGTCACTGCATAAAGACAGAAAGCACCGCCCGTGGGAAGGCCAGGTGTCCCAGGAGAGGATGCAGCCCAGCCACAGTGATAAAATAAGAGGGTCTGATCGTAGGCAGGTGTTTTTGATTGCTTACCTCTAGTTGTACTCTGAGGTTATGGCAGTCTCTGTAAGGCTGGTGAAGAAGGGAACTGAGGCCCTGGCCCAAGCTTCCTGCCAAACAACCCTTACACAAGAGATAGGCTCAGCTGTTTTCAGCCTCTTCTGACTGGGGGAAAAAAGGCACTCTTGATTGCATTTCACAGGGAGTCTTGTCCTGTTTTTGGGGGGCGGCAGCAAGAGTGCCTTCATTGGTTAAGGCTGAGGAGTGTGTTGGAGCCTACTAACAATAAATCAGATGTAGAAAGGTGTAGCATCATAGTCAAATAGAGTAAAAATAGAGGGCATAACAGAGGTTAGGACTTACTGCTGAATGCAAAGGGTTTCCATCATTTTAGCTCTTGGTTCCAAAGCCTTCCTTTGTATTCGATGCTTCTGTGCTCAAGCTCAAATGTTTTGAGAAAAAGAATAAAAATTTAGCAATGCCAACTGTTTGTAAAGGAGAAGCTTCAACTTTTTAGAGGAGCAAGGGATGGGTAGAATAGGATGGGTAAGTAGAGTTTTAGAGTAAGGAATGGGTGTTTTGCAACATATTATTCTATTTGGTATCAGAAGCACTAGCACCTTTGATGGTTTACCATAGTTTGTCAAATCCACCCTGTTTTGAAAGATGACTTGGAGTCCTACATTTTGCATGTGCACATGCCCTTCACAGTGGCCTTCTTGGAAAATGCTTCTGTTCCTAGATTTTCTGGAAAAACTCAACATAATTGTAGGGCACTGACCACAGACTTCTATTCACGTTGCTAATGGATATTCAAACTGCAGCTTGAGCATACTTGACAATGCTCTTCTGTTCCACCCATTTTCCCCAATGAATTAACTTGCAAGTGACATTAATTAGAAACCATCCTTTTAATGGGCACTTCAGTTCCGTAGTTGTTCTGTTCTTTAGAGGCTAGCTTTACTTTTGTACAGTCCCTCACTTCAGTCTGTCTTCCAAGGCAGCACTACTGATTTTTGCTCAGACAGTGCTTTGCCTACTTTTGTCTAGCTGGCTGATAGGAAATAAGCTGAATTTTACATGTACCCTTTTGGCATGCCTGCTTGTTTCTAGGCAATGCAGCTCTTCACTGACTGTGCCAGATTCTGTACTCTCAAACAATACAGTTATTATGCTGCATCTGCTAAAGTAAAATGTTGGCATGATTTTCTAGTGTCTCAATGGTGTTGTCCTCATACTCTCTGTGTGATTACACTTTGTTGTGAAAGCAAACCCTTGTTTCATGGTATCCAGAGCTCTAGACTGTCACACCAGTATCTCACAGATGTGAAGGCCAACAGATATTCACAGAATTTGCAGAAATCCCAGAATCATCACAGAATCACAGAATGGCCCAAGTTGGAAGGGACCTCAAGGATCATGAATCTCCAACCCCCTTGCCACATGCAGGGCCACCAACTTCCACATTTAGTACTAGACCAGGCTGCTGTCTGCCCTCTTAGCAATGTTGTCACCCTCATCAGTAGCAGACTTCAGATCTGTAAGTACAGAAGACCAAAAGCCTTTTTGAGGTTACAGAACAAGAATAGCAGTCTGACCACTGAATCTTCGTGAGATCTTGAAAAACAAAAAGTGTTGAGGAGTGGTGTTCTTGATAAAAATTGCTGTGCATTGCAGTCATACTGAATTGGGAGAGCATTTTCTTTTAATCCCAAATCAGATAGTTTGTATGTTCTTGGGTTACCTAGTTAATTAGAAGCTTCTAAAGCAAGTCTGGCTTACGTTGGTTGATTTTTAATAAAATCCAGTGACAAACCCTGACTTTGAAAATTGTCTTTAATTGGTTTCTCCTTAGCTCCAAGAAAAAAAAATCAATGAGCAGGAGGTGGGTGCTTATAATGTATGGTATTTTTTCTCTGGTGACAGTGACAGGACCTGGGAGAATTGGCATGAAACTGTAACAGGGGAGGTTCGTATTGGATATTGGGAAAAACTTCTTCACAGAGAGGTGGTTGGGTGCTGGAGCAGGTCACCCAGTGAAGTGGTCATGGCACTGATCTTGCTGTAGTTTGAGAAGCATCTGGACAGTGTACTCAGTCATGTGGTCTGTTTTTTGGGTGATCTTACTTGGAGCCAGGAGTTGGACTCGATGATTCTTATGGGTCCCTTCCAAATCAGGATATTCTATGATTCTATGATTTTGAGAAGTATATCGGAAGAGAGTTGCCTAAATCTCAGCAGCATTTTCCTCAGCTGCCCTAGACTGTCTATCAGTTTGTTGTTTAATGAAATCTCATGGTTGAATGTAAACACACTATTTAGAAACCTATCTGTGTTGTTGCCAATTCCCTCAGGCTTGCTGTCATCCGGGATCAAGTGGTTTTTGCTGTTCGGCAGGAGTACGTGCTTCTTGGAGATCAGCTTCTGGTCCTGCAGACAGGAGACGAAGTTGCCATCATCCCACCAATTAGTGGAGGCTGAGTCTGTGCAAGTTCTGTTAGGTAGGTATCACTTCTTGCTTCACATCCTGTGGAGGATCATCCTATGTTAAAGTATCTGATGGATTCTGTAAAATCTTCCTATAATATTTTTCTGGTAAAATCCTGAGATTTGGTGTGCAATTATCCCCATCTACATCTGGTACTCTTTGGAGAGAGCATAACTTTTATTTCCTGCAGGAGAGCATTGCTGTGGTGACCAGAAACTGTAAGCTCTTGCATGAATAAATGATTAGCACACATAAGTAAATGGAATAAAATTGGCAATGAGGTCAGGCACTGTTTTGTTTTTGCTTTTAGGTCTTATTTTCTTTGGTAGTTTTTTTTTCTGGCTGTCAGTAGATATCCAGCTTACATAAGTAAGATAATAATGGAAAATGTCCTGCCACTTTTTAACAGAAAGGATGATACAGAAGAAGAATTGATTGCTGATTAAAAAAATACTTTTTTTCTTTTTTGCTGTCAAAGGGTCAAGTGTCCCTAGTACAGATTCATGCTTTCCTGTGTAGCTTATTCTACTGCTGCTGCTCAGTCCACTTATATTCCTCCTCATCCTTAGATGAACTAGTAACTGATGTCTACACAAAGCATTTAGAAATGGCACCAGTGTCATTGAAATAGGCTGATAGGATGAAAACTTGAATGTCCTGGAGAGCGTATTAAACTTTGAATTAAATGCAAGTTTAAACTGTGATTGATTATAGAATAAGACAGAAAGAATGGGCTGACAGGCTTACCAGAAATTTGCTAACATAGTGGTCTGTGCTAGTAGACTGTTGAACTGAACCTTCAACTAGTTCTTGTTTTGTACTACTTTCCTGCAAGGCAGGAGCTCATGTGCCTTAGAAAGAGATCTTCCCCTGGTATTTACATTTACTGTTCTCTCAGCAAGTCTGCTGAGAAGTGAATTTACCGTGAAGACTGGTCTCTTGGGGTGAGTAAGAAGATGGTACATATTTTCTGAATAAATTGGGGCATCAGTATGGAATAAAAGGCAGTTGGCAAATGTTAGTACTGCCAAAAACAACTACAGAATCTGTTTGGTTTTAGCCCTTCTAGGGAGCCATGGATGAAAGAGAGGATGTGCCGAAAGATTTTATCAAGCTCAAGTCTGAAAAGCTGTCTGTAGATGAAGTGTCAGAACTGGTCATTTCACCATGCTGTGGGGCAGTGTCTCTTTTCATTGGTGAGTTTGATGTTTCAGAGCTGAATCTCTGGATGTGTTAATAGTCTAGTAAATGGAACTCAGCTTGTCCCACACCCCAGACTCGTGCTTCTCAAATAAATACATTTTTGGACTGAACCCAGGATATTTAGAAAATTCATTCTGAATTATTTAGAACAGGACCATGGCAACTCTTATACAGTTGCATTGGGACTGAGTAGTGAGAAGCTTCCCTGCTGGTGTGGCTGTTCTAGGACTGAATGGAACAACAGTGCTGGAGAACAGTTCTGCTTAGAAGTTACTTTGCTATTCCCCTGCACGCAGGGGATTTAAGATGGAAAGCAGTGACTCTGCAGTAAAACACAGGTACTCACCTGTGTGAAAACTGCAATTCAGATCTTGGTTTAAGACAAAGTCTTGTTCTACCAATGGGCGGGTGCAGGTTGAGTCTGCTGGCTCCACCCTGTTTTGTGTTTAAAATACATAGTATAGATCTTCAAACTCATTTTTTGCTCAAGCCTGAATACCTGTGGGCTTCTAAATACTAAGCACTTAAATAAATTAACACAAAAGATGTTCCAGCTTTGAGCATTACAGATTTGTGTATTTTCATAATCTGTAGGCTTATTCCTCATATACTGAAGATTTCTTTTGTTTGAAGAATCTCTTTATATAGCCATAACTAGAGGAAGTCATTTATGTTTAGAGTGCTGTCCTTGGCCTCAGTGGGAGGTCCTCAGTTTTGCTCTGTGTTTTTCTGTTGCTTTCCTTTTATAACTGCATTTTTGTTTAGGTACTACGAGAAATAATTTTGAAGGGAAAAAAGTGATTCGCTTAGAGTATGAAGCATATACTTCAATGGCAGAGATGGAAATAAAGAAAATCTGCAGAGATGTTAGACAGAAGTGGCCATCAGTCAAACATATTGCAATGCATCATAGACTTGGGTATGTATGGATAGACCATATTCTTCTTCAAATGGTATACTAATCCTTGTATGATGCTTGCATACTTGAAAGTTGTGCAGGAATCTATAGAAGCTGCAATGTATCAAAGCTTGCTACTGGATCGTGCTGTCAGTAAGGAGCTAGGTTTCAGAAATAAAGTCTTGTTTTTCAAAATCTTTTTATTAGTAGTATTTGCCAGAATCCATATTAAGCTGTCAGGAACCTCAATCCTGCTGTAATGGTTTGAGAGTGGAGAAAAGAGATCAAGATTTCCTTGCAGGAAAGAGCAGGCTGTTATGTTTGTGAAGTTCTCTTCCACTGCTGCAAAGTGTCACTACTTTTTTCCTGACAGATTTAAGTATTGGAACCTAAGATGTTAGAATACGAGGTTGAAGGAAAGGCATGGTAATTGCCAGTCATGCTTGTAAAAATGTATCTTGTTATTCCTTGCATTGGATACACATTTTTTTATTGGGTATAAACCATGGAATGGTTTAACATAGTCCTAAGCCTTCACTGTTCATCAGATTTCTGGCTGAAATTAGCAGGATTTGCATTGTGTGTTGCAAATATTTGTTTCCTATTCTTTTTTTTCCCCACAGGAAGAACTTAGAATGCAATCACAAAGGTTAATATTAACTCTGAGGGGTAGTTTCTTCGGATTTCTTCTACAGTCAACCGAGACAGGAATTAATTCTCTCTGAAGAGCTACTCAGAGTACTTAAGCATAGATTTTTCTCTGAGCTGTTTGCCAGTGCAGTCTGCTAAATAGAGTGGGTTGGGAGGCAGCTTTCGGGAACACTACCCTTGTGAGGAGTAGTACAAAACCTTGTGCAACTTCGGTTAGCTTAGTTTTTCCCACCAAATAGAAAAAGAAACATACTTTGAAGTCAACATTTGGCAAAAATAAAGTTATACAGCAAAATCTGTGTACTTTGAGATACGCAATATCTTTTTTTCACATATCATCTCAGTTTGTATAAGAATTTCTGATATTTTCAGTTAGCTTCCTTTTCCAGACCTGTTGTTCTTCTTTATTAAGCCCAGCTTCCAGGGAGTTTCCTTTGTTGCAAGATAGTAATTTTCATCTTTTAATTCCATAGGCTTATTTTTAAAAAAAGAAGAAGGAATAGAAAAAAAGGCCTATGACTGGTGGTTCTATTTATTTTAAAGCATGGAATTCCTGCATCTGATGTTGATTTTGGTTGTGGTTTTCTTTCTGTTTAAGTGTGCATCATTTTTTGGACATGGCTTGACACTTCCTCAGTGTGAATGAGTCAGGAGTGCATGTGGCCAGAATACTGATGTGACATGGCTACAACTTTTGGGTGCTCTGGATATTAAGCATTTGCTAAAGCTTCTGTTGTTCTCTCTCTAGTGTGGTTCCAGTAACAGAGGCAAGTGTAATTATCGCAGTCTCGTCTCCACACAGAGCAGAATCCCTTGAAGCTGTAACACATTGCATCAACACTTTAAAAGCATTTGTCCCAATATGGAAAAAGGTATGTTTGGGACAAATTTGGTTATTTGGTTCTAGCTTGTGCAAGGATCTGTGCTGCTGGCTCTTAGGGAAGGAGCTGTAGTGTTATGGGCAGCAGTTGCTCCTGAAGAGATGTTTTTTTCTAGCACCACTGAATTTACTTGAATGCAGCCAGGCCTGCATGTGGCATTCAGACACCAGGAAGATATCCTCTCTTGCTTGTGCCTCCCAGCTACTCTTCCTCTTAATGCCTTTCTGGGGTCAGAGTGAAGGATGCCCAGGGAGGTGGTGGAGTCATCGACCTTGGGGGTGTTCAAGGAAAGACTGGATGTGGTGTTGAGGGACATGGTTTAGTCGGAGCTATTGGTAATAGGTGAACGGTTGGACTGGATGATCTTTTAAGTCTTTTCCAACCTTGGTGATTCTATGATTCTGTGATTCTATGATTCTTGAGCTCATCTCTTCTGAGTGGCAAAGTTCAATTCTGCATATACTAGTGGAAGAACTTAGAATGTGTTGTGTCTTGGATGGCATTGCAGTTTGCAAGTAAAAGTGGCATTTCTTTCAGTTTTTCTCTCATCTCTATGGCTATTGATAAGCACAAAGCATTAAGCAGCAGCACACATACACATGGCAGTAGCACACAATGAAGGTATATTCAGTGGTCCGAAAGCTCCTATGGAGACACAGCAATGTGTGTAGAATGCAGCCTAAGACTAGAAAGAGCCACATTGCATACAATTAATGGACATTATCTCTGCCTTCTCTTACATTCCAAACTTGGCATGTAGTAACAGTAGTTTCTTGAGTTGCTGCTCAGTGTAGAACACTATCTTCTTTATCACCACTTTTCTGACACCTTCTCCAGGAGACTGAAGTTTTATGATTCCAGAAAGAATAATTGGGCTCATGGCCCCGCTGAATTTGCTACTTGGGCCTGGACTGCTGTTGAGTAGTCCAGTCTATCCTGAAGATGTAATAGTGTATTTTGAGTCTTGGTGTCTTTATTTTTTAACACATTTTCTAAACATTTAATTACTCTCATTCCTAAAAGTGATGGTAGTGTTTAGGACACAAGTGCTATGTACCATACAGCTTCTGCATCCTTTCTTCTAGATGTTTTTCCTTAAGTGACTTCAGTATACATGAGGCCTTCTAAATGTAATGGGTTCAGCTCCAGGTTCAGCATCTGCCCACATGTAAGTCAGTGTTTTCTAAAGATGATCCCCCCCTTTTCTTTTTGCCAGCTAAGTGCAGTGTAGTCCTGATGTGGTCAGCAAATAATAGCAAGATGGTTGTTGAGTTGTTTGGCCTGGCTTGTGCAGGCCAAGCAACTGTGACTGTATGTAGTGGACTCCCACAATATTTATCATTCTTTGTTTGTATTCACAGGAGATTTATGAGGACGAGTATTCTTGGAAGGAAAACAAGGAATGCTTTTGGACAAATTCAGAAAAATAACTGTAATCTTTTATAAATAAAGTGTTACTGCTCCTAATGAGCATTCTGTTTTAGCTTTGAGTTGTTCTTACATAGTATCTATGTGATTTTAACCAGTTGCAATAGGCATTTCAATCTGAAAAATCTAATTAGGACTGTATGAAATTAATGAGCAGTATTTAGGATTTTCTTATAAAGTGTTCTTAAATCCTTTGAAATCATCTCTGTGTACTTTTTAACACAGAATCAGTTTTTAAAACTATCTTTCCTAAAAGTCATGGTTGCAAGACATTTAGTCCTCTGTGATATATACTGCTTTAGTGCTTCTGTGTTTGTAGTCTTTGTTTGCTGTTTTCATGGGAGGTCACAGCAGAACAGTTGGATACTAATACTCTGCCAGCAACAAACTCGCATTAGCAATAGCACATAAACTTGTACTTACCTAGACATGATTGATTTTGAAGGAGTTTTTTTGGATGTGCAATTTTGTGATTCTACAGGAAAAAAAAATCCTTAAGAATAAGTTTAATTAGATTTAGTAGTTTGACCTTAGACAGGTTAGGATGCAGAGTCATCAGAATGGATTAGTTGTTCAAAGAAAAGTTAAATCTATTGCATATGTACGTTGCAAGGAATTCACAGCTTATGTATGCCTTTAAATTCACATTTAAATTTTTAATAGTTTTTCTCTTATGTTTTACAACTTAAAAGGACAGACATAGTATGTCTGTTCTTTCACTGTAGACTTATCTGATTAGGATTGTTTTCTTGATATTATTCTGTACCGCAAAGTATGGTAGATGCTAAAAGTTCAAGGTGGCCATTGTGTATGACATTTTTACTAATGACAAATGGCAGATTTATCTAATTGTTATTGATGTAGAGAAGATAGCTATTCTAAGAAAAGGGGAATGCAGTTAAGTAAAATCATTTGCTGAAGCTGATATATCATTTCATAACACAATACTTAAGCCTCAGCTGTATAAATCTGCTTCATTCTGTCTGCAGTAAAAACCGTCACAACTGCAAACAGCACAAAATGAAACTGGAAAAATAGGCAGTGATCGTTTTCCCCAGTGATGTCAGTCTTTTTTGATGCATAGTGATGGTTACTGTACTGGGTTATATAAACCCCAGAAAAGCATGCAACTTCAGGTAAAGGAGTGGTTAAACTGGTTAAAGCTTTGTAGCTTACTGCTGCATTTTCCCTCAATGGAAGTGAGTTCTTCCTCTACAGGACAGCAGCTGTTCCTTGTATGCATGTGTATACACAGTCTTCAAACCATGTGGGCTCTATTATCTAGGCAGAGCTGAACAAGTTAAGGTTGCATGGATGTTGGAGAGAAGCCCTCTGTTAATTTGATTGTCGTTTTTGCTGGGAATTGTATGGAATCCTGACTACAGATCACTTTTTGAGACAAGTAATTATTTTTGTTCTTAAAAAAAATTAAAAAAAACAAAAAACAAAACAAAACAAACTAAAAAAAAACAAAACAAAAACCCAAAACCCAATAAAAAACAAAGACACAAAGTTTCCAGTATTCTTGTGTTTTTGCACATTAATTTGTTTGTTGTTACCATGCAACTGATTAATTTCAAGCAAATGGCTAGCTTGCCTTGTGATGTAAGGTTTATGAAAGAAGTAAAGCCTGTACAATTTTTACATGCTCAAGCTGTGCTTTGATGCAAGAAGACTGATACTTAGAAGAGTTAAATTGTACTTGGAGCTCTACAGATTCAGAGAACCTTAAGATGATCTAGGTTGGAAAAAACATTCAAGATCATGAAGTCCAATGATTGAGGGCAGTTCCTGTGTAATCACTCTGTTGCCTTAGTACTTCTGTGGTGCTGCAGTCTCTTTGAGGATTTGTCCAGGGTGACCTTAAGTGCACCTTCTCCTCCAGCAATGCAGCTGGGAAGTAGGGTGCAGAAAAGAAGAGAAAGAATAATGGTGTACTTCCCTGCAGTGACCAGGAACAATGAATGGAAGAGATGTTGTACTGAGTCACAGTTGAGTGCTACAATGTGTGTATGCTGCCATGGTCAAAACAATGAAATGTCATTTTGTGTCCCTAGCTGTGCATGAGGCAAGTACTGCTTTGTTCTGGAACAATGATGCATCAGTATTGTGTAACTTTTGGTTCTTCTGCTGGCATCTGAAAGCGAAATGGAAAAGCCCCTAGGAGGGATGGTGTGCATAGAGGTAAAATGTATGTTGCTGAAATGTAAATACATAACCTGAGCTCTTTGTTCAGGCTCCTTCTGTTGTGTTACACTCTCTGCTAGGAAGAAATTATTGTAAGATGGCAAATTACTCTTCTCTAACATAGCTGCCTGAGGCTATGTCTAGAGCAACCCAGAACTGCTTCCAAATTTCCAGGCCTGGGGATGAACTTCAGCTGCTTAACTGCATGTCAGGGAAAGATGTGGCTGCACATGTCCTGGTTTCACAGAACTAGGCTGCTGGGTGAAAACTACCTAGTGTTCTGATGACTGTGAGCAGGACAGCAGAGCAGTATAAATGCAGACCTTGTTGTCTGGGATGAGTGCAGGTTTTTCTCTGATTTGGCTACAAGTGAAGGTAATCCTACCTCATTGCTACTCTTTCAGCTGTGTCACAGTAAGCTATAGAGATGGGGCTGTGAGGAGAGATGGATGTTCCTGGAAGCAGACACTGTAAACCAGAGTATATAGAGTGAATCTGTGACTTGTGTAGTGACCTGCATGACAAAGGGTATGCTGGGTGTCTTCAGAATGAAAATTTGTCCTTCTGAAATGTCTTGGATTTGACTGGTAATATTTGAATAGACTGTTCCCTTTGTCTGTACATCAGCATTGCATAAGTTTAAGTTTCCTGCATCAAAACCTTTCATTTAGTTCTGTTCACAAGAGAAGTTCAGAATGACAGACACTGTGAAAACACAATTTGAAAATGTAACCGATGGAAGAGACACCTACCCAGGAGATGGCAGCAGAGGGACAGATGTGTGCGGGCATCTGCCTGGGAGCACAGCCACGCTGTGCTGGGCTCTGTGCTGGGCTCCATCTGCTGCAAAATACAGGTGCTCACCTCTGTAATCCATGAAACTACCACTGTTGTACTCAGTAATGAGGTCTTTAAGTTACTCAAATTTAAAGTAAACTGGCTTTTCTTTCAGCTCACTTTGCCTGTAGCTGTTCAGGGAATTTCTGCTTCACAGACTGACTAATCATAGAATCATAGGAGGCCTTAGGTTGCAAGGATCCTTAAAGACTCACTATTTCGACCCCCCCTGCAATGGATGGTGTTCCCACCCACTGGATCAGGTTGCCCAGGGTCCTTTCCAACTTGGGGCCCTGGACACCTCCTGAGATTAACTTTTCTGTGTAGCCTGTGCCAGTGCCTCACCATGCTCTGAGGACAGAATTTCTGCCTAATGTCTGATCTAAATCTCCCCTCTTTAATTAAAAGCTATTTCCCTTTGTCCTATCACTATCCATGTAAAAAGTCAGTCTACCTCCTGTTTATAAGCTCCCTTCTACTTACACACTAAACTACTAAAACTAGTACTACTAAAACTAAGTGTTGGTGGAGTATAATGAAAGTAACTCTGCACTAAACTCTGAAAACTCAGTTTTGAGCTTTTCCATTAAGTGTTGTCTTGCAGAGGTACATAAAGAAAGAATTAAAATAGGTGGGAGACTATAAGTGAGAAGTGTTTCTTTTAATATCTTAGGACTGTAATTTTCTTGGTCCAGATAACATGAATTGTGTTACAAAAATTAGCATCCTTATATATTTTGATAGTGGTTCTGTTTTAAAAGTTTGATTTCTGCTACTTTGAGGGAAAGAGGTAAATCATTTTTAAAACTACTATCACATCAAGGCCTGTGGTTGCCTATGAAAAATGAATCATAAGTGAAGGCACAAAGAGTGATTGAAAAGATAGGACTTGGCTTTTCTGAGGTTGTGTGAATTATGTATGCTTTATTACCTTTAAAGGCAACAATAAGTTGAAGAATTTAACTATAGATTTCATATTTGTACCATTTCTTTAATGCACAAGGTTTTGTTGCACTCCATTTTTGTATGTAAGAGATAATATATGCAAGTTAGTAGATAGGGAAGCTGGTTTTCAATTCTAAACACCAAAACAGGGTGTATGACAGAATCTTGTGCCTTAAGATTAGAAACATTTGATTCTATTTTATGGAAATTCTAAGGTTTATAGCCATAATGTATATAGACACAAAGCATGGGGCTGGCAGAATACGGTGTAATTTCAGATGCCACAGAAAATAATCATATGCATCTAGGAAAGCCTGGCCCTGGTGCAGCTTCTTAGTGTATCTCACAGAGTCATCACCTTAGGGTTTTTTGCTATGTGCTACTGGAATAATGACATATTTGACCCATTTTATGCAGTGCTTTTTCAGTAGCATTTCTTCTCTTTAGGGTGCTGTATAAAAATAATTGAGTCTCTGTTCAGCAGTATTCTTGTTTTTATTATAATAATGCTATTAGGCCTTCAGATTGGCACCACAGAGATACAGTTCCTGCTCCCAGAGAGCTTACACACTAGTTTTCAGAAGTCTGTTTGCTTATAAACTCTCTTTTCCATCTAAATGTAGTCTCATGTGAAACTCTGAGTTTAGACTTGATTCTAGTACTTCCAGAAGTCAGCAGCTAAATTCAAGCCTAAGATCAGATATATATCTTGAGATTGTTGAAAGAGTTCCTGACTTCTCTGCTGCAAGCACAAACAGAAGCACATGCTAAGTCCAACATTTTGAGTATTATTTCATTTGCAACATGCTATTTTTTTTAAAAAAAGTAAAATTAAAAAAATCCATAATACAAAATATACATAATATTTCCAGCATTATTTGTGGCTGTGCCAACTTAACTTAAAAGTGCAGTAAAGTCACCCATAACAAAAACTGAACTAGCCATGTAAGTATTAATCATAAAAGAAAAATAAAACTAGTATCTTGAAGTGGTTAGGATAGAAAATCTTATACATTGCTATGCCTTCCCTTTATTTCAGGGAAAGTGTTATTCCCAGCATTGAGAGGACTTCTGTTGTCAGGAACAAAATAAAACCCAGTGTAGACTGGTGAACCGAATCACTGCTGTCCTATCTATGAACTGTTAAATAACCAAGACGTTGGGTGTCAGATATTGACCTGTATTTCACACCTGTGGTTGAAGAAGGAAGTCTGACTCACTGCCTATGTTATTTCTTGTATGGCAGCATGAGAAATGACAGATGCTACAGTCTACTTTGTTGTGAAATTCCTCCTATGGCCTTATATGACCCTAGTTATGTAGAAGCTTCTCGCACATGTAGGTGTAGGATTTTCTTTTCTTCCTTACAACTTTATACAGTGATTGAGACAGACAAATTTTTATCTTTACTTTTAGAGCATTTGCTTGCAGGGTTCATAACTGTAAGTCAGGACCACATTCTTCAAGTTTGAACAATTGCTTTTTAAAAATTTTTTAAAATAATAGTTTTGATGGTCACAAACTCAGTTAATGGCAACAATCTTGTCTGACAGTCAAGATCAGAATCCAGATTGTTTTTCAGAATGTTAAAAAAACCTGAACAAATATGTAACCTTCAATGGATACAAAATAAATCCAAAACACATACAATTATATTGAGAACAATCCAGCTGTCACTGCAAATGTAGCTGTTATTTGCCAAAGAGATAATTGGCTCTAGTGAGTTAAAAAAAGACTGAATAAAATTTCCAAACACGCTCAAATGTAATTTTTTAAACATCACACAGAAAATAAATCTAAAAGTGCCTAACTGTATTTACAAAGTAGTTTTTGGGGAAAGAAAACATAACTTCAGGTTCTGTGTCGGTTAGGCACATTTAAATGTTTTCAAGTAAATCACATCAAGTCAGAAACAATCTTAGTTATGTGGCAGCATCCATAAAGACGACACACGCGTCTTCTGTCACAACTGCACTGAAGTAACCACCTGCTATGAAAGTGAAAGGCAGTCAGAAGGCCAAATCCCCTGACTGTTACCAGTCTTACAGGGCCTTCTGACTGGTTTATCATTAAAACTGGGCAGCACATGATAAATTTGAGGTGTGTAGCTTACACAAAGACCCAGCCGTGCTCAGAGTTCCTGCAGAGCTTTACAGTACTTTATTATGAAAAATACAAGCTAACTTCTTCAAGACATGAAGACAAAGAACCAAATAAAAAAAAGGACAGGTACGTAGGTCACACTGAACTTTGCTCTCCTGGAGGGCACTGAGATGCTTAAAAAAGCAAGTGCAGTGTGTAATTTATCACAGAATCACCAACGTTGGAAAAGACCTACAAGATCTTCTCCGTCTTCTGTCCTAACGTGCTTACGACCTCAGTCATATCCCCTTTAGCTCACCTCATGCTCTTACTATTGCAAAATCTTCCAGTACAGAAGTAAGGGCAAGATTTTGACTCTGTTCTCTATTTATGCCAAAAGCTAAACTGATGTCAGGTGACCTGCGCACATAAAGCCCAGCGTAACAGTATTGGTAGTTCTTCTCCATATGAAACTTGAAAGCCAGTCATAACATGACGGAGAACATGGTATGAAATTCTTATTTTCTTCTCAGAGACAGCATTCAGAAGGCAGTTACATGTATCGTTTGGCAGTATTTTCCAAAAACGTTATACTTGGATAATTTGTGACCTTAGTGCGAGGAAGTGGTGACCTTTTGAAACAGCATGCCCATCCAGTTGCCCTGTAGCACACAGATAGACGTCTTCTTACGTAGTTCTCACTTCGTGGATTAGTTAAGACAAAGGTTTGCTTGTACAAATTTGTGTTAAACAATAAGGATGGAGCTAGTCAATGAAAAAATGATTTTTTTTTTTTTTTTCTCCCAGTCTGGAAGCAGTATTCACCACACATTCATCATCAACGTAATAGAAAGTGTCCTTTACACATATGGTACTTGTCAACTGAATTATGAACTGATGTTGTTCCACAATAATCTGAAATAAATTGTTCTGTTTCACTCTGCAGTGGATCAGGAGAAGTGTTGCTGGCACACTACATTACTGTAAACTCCGGACCTGCCAGTACTAAGGGCTAAGTTTGTTTGAAAGGCAAAAATTTACAAGAAAAGGCACTATAAATCACTTTTGAAAAAACAAAACCAACACTGTCCTGCAGTTACTCTTATAATAGAGTAGAATCTGTAAAATATTTTCATCTATAAAAAAAAAAACCCAATACTTTAATTAAAAATGTTTAAATGTTATTAAGCTTGAAGGCACTCCAGCTGAAGAACTGATTGGATCACAATTTCTATTGGTGGCTCAGATCTCCCCTCTTTATCCACATAATATATCTTCAGTCTTTGTCTTTTGTGAGTTCTGTAATTTCATCTATATCTTCTATATCCTGTGTCATTTTTTCATACTGTCTCTTGAAGAAGCCAAGCTGTGAGGGGTATAGAAACAACACCACATTACAATCAGTCATCAATACTTACATTTCTAGATTAAGTTAAATATTATGATCAAAGAAATGCATAATGCATGCATGCACACACATGGAGTGTTTGATTTGTAGATGATTCCTAACTGAAAGAAGCTGGGCCTTAATTTCTTGCCTGGGGCAACAAATGCCAAAATAGTAGGACAGAGCAGCCAGTCTCCCTGCCAAGATACAGGAATATGTAGGCTGTCTTGGTGTGCCAGGGTCTTCCAAGAACCAATGCTCTGGCATGCACAAAAGCTTTTCCTTCCCGCTTATCAAGGTATCCTTTGTAAATCACTTTTTGCTGTCACCCTTCTCTGTTCTTCTTGCCTGTTCAGCATATATTCTCTCCTTGCTTCTATTCCCCAGACTTGCTCACTGAAAATACGGTTGGTGAGCTGTGGAAGGACACAGGGAGAGGGATAAAAATGCTGCTGCTCTTATTTTAAGGCACTGGCAGCACATTTATCATTTTCACATTGCCCATGTCTATGGTGATTCACTTTAGAATTATGATTTTAAAAGCTCCCATCAAGAGTGGAAAGTCCATGCAGTATTATTCTTATTACTAAACTGCATATGCAGTTTTGTTCAGCACTAATGAAAGGAGGTTCCAAAGAAAACAGCCCACACGTACTTATCCCTTTCTGCTTTTCTTTTTTAAGAATATAAATACCTACTTACTTTCCATAAAACAGCAACCAGTACTAACAGCAAGAGGAGTCCAGCCAATATACTGCCAATCACAACACCAATTGGTATCTCAGCTTTCTCATCTGGCTTTATTATTGTAACTGGGATCTGAAAGCAGAGAGATGTGGTAGGGGTTAACATTTTAACAGCATGTAAAGCAGGATTTGTAAACCAGGTACTTATTAAGGATAGCTATAGTGCACGCATGCCAAGATCAGTGACTGGAACACACCAGACAACGGCAACCTTTTCACTGGTGTCCACGGGCACCTGCTTGTACCACAGTAGCACTGGACAGTCAAAGATTAGGGACCCTCGTCATTCTCGGCCATATACAACAGGCATAGAAACAATCTCTTCATGTCAGCTTTCTGTCTTTTTGGTAACAAGGGTACTTTCAAAGTTATCTCCCAGAGTGTGGACACCTGCTACTAGGTAAACCAGAGGTACTGACATGCAGGCTGGGAATAGCTGTGCTTACAACCCCATCTACTCAAAACAGACTTCAGCTGCATCAGCTAGAGAAGGACTACTTCCAACCGAGTTTTCAGACTCCATTCTCTGTAGTGGGCAGCCATAAGAAACAATAGTAATTGTTAGATCTTCTAGTGTTAATCTGTGTTCTCCTGAGTTAGCTTCAAGAATTTGCAGTAAGACATAGGGGTCAAATAGGAGCCTCTAGGATATCTGTGCTTCCCAAGAAATACCAGAGAGCTCGCAGGACAGCATACAATGTCTGGAAGTTCATTTTCAGGTGATACCCTATCTAGTCGGATTGCATATGACCAGCTATATAGTTTCACATAATGTAGTGGCACAGGGAGATACTGCTGTAATATTTATGAACTGTCAAATCTTTGGAATGACGTGCGTTTAGCATGAAGATTTTTTTTTCCTTCCTGAAACATGATAAAAGAAGTCATGTCAGTTTACTTTCTCAGGGTTGCTTGCTCAGTGCATTTGTCTGGTGTAATTTAATCTTAAGCTTTCTGGGAAACTTGAACTGAGCTGACATCTCAGTGATTTAAGTCATTTCTGCTGGAAAGCTCTACTGTTGTGTTAGGTGTGGCTTTATGTATTCATTTCACTGAGGCAGGCTGGCTTTATGTATTCTCTAACAGAGTAGCTGTAATGATGATTATAGCAGGTTAACATTCTGTCCTCCAGCTGGAAGTACTTCCCAGCATGGAAAGAATCTGAAAGCTTTTACGCAAAAGTATCAAGCAGTTTCTCCATATAACATCACAAGGTAATATTAATTAATTTGACTACATGGCAATCCAACTCATCGTAATTTTAAAAAGTCCATCTTATTTCTACATGCAGTTTGTCTGGTTAGAATTCACCTCATCTATTGCTATTCCTAATGGATGGCCATTGGCTTCCAATGGAAAAAGATAGGCCTTGTTTTAGGGCATAATTCACCTTACCTATTTTTAGCAATCATCTTTAAGATGTGATTAACTGCATCTGAAATATACCTACTATTTCTACTGATAAGAGTTTATAGGAGTGCTAACTGTTGTATGGATTTCTAATGTAGATACTAACTTGGACGAATCCTACCACTCTAGCTGCCTTTCTAAAATAACAGTAGAAGTTCGAAACAAACTCAGATAGCCACTGCATGGTCCCATTTCAAAGAAAGAGTGAAGGGACAGAGAGTGGCCATCATTTCTGGCCTGTCATGCTTTGTATCCAGTTCTGGATGCTGACTCCAACACTGAGATGGCAAAGGGAACTGTTTTCCCTAGAAGAGTATATGGTCCACTGCCCTTTACCAGCTGGCACATTTGCCAAGTCTTCTCACAGGGCAAGAACCTATTAAGTAAGGATGGGACTAAACTTTACCAGAACATAATGTGATAACTTTCATGGTCTGTTCATCTACTGTCTCAGAGCAGTAAAAGTCTCAGTTGCAGATATTTCAGTGGTTGGCTGAAAAACTACCTTTTGTGCGTCAACTGACTTAAACGAGAGTCATTGAAATAGGTAAATTCTGAAATCACTGACAATGATACTGGCGATGCAAATTTGGTATTATCATGTTCCAGCTGTACAAGAATACACAGTCAAATGTAATCTATGAACTAGCTAAAAAGCCTGTACAATTAAGTGGAATATTTGTATTGTATGTTAATGGTTTTTATCTTTTGGCAGAAATACTATGTCACAAAGCAGAGACACTCAGCAGACTTCAAATACAGGTAATATAATTATTCTGCAAAATCATGACATTACTTACAGACCTATACATATTTTTCCCTTCTTCAAGGATTTGAGGCTTCCTTGGTTACAAAGAGATTTGTTTAGAAGTTCTTTGCAAAAACTGAATTGTCCATGAGAAAATAATGACAAAAATAGTACTGAAATATGGTCTCATCATCACTTTGAAATAGGTCAATCAGTTACTGTTTTGGTACATACTTAACTGAATATTCCATTGCCTGTGAATGGACTATACTACATATTCTTGCAGATGTTTGACTCGCTTAACAACTTACACTTTGGTCTTCAAAGATCTGTCTGCAAACTTCAAACCTGAAGTATAGTTATGGAAGTAAGACTTAAAAGCAGATTTGCTAAAACGTTTTCCAGAGCTTATTTATCTACAACAATTAATTCTATTGGAGAAAGAAGTTCAGTTTGAGCTCTTCACGCAGAGGAAGATGAATAAAATTCCTAAGTCTTTAACTGCGTTTTGCTGATACTTCTACAATCTTTTTTAAAATCTGAAGCTTTTATCTCTGGTTTAGGTAGTAGCCAGATGAAATTAAAATGTTTTTGTAACTTAGGGAAATTTGTATGTAGCCAAAAGGATACATTAGTTCAACATATTAATATGTCACATGAGGTTGAAATTTGCTATGTACTTCTAAATATCACTATAATATCATCAGTTTAAAAAATTTTAAGTAAGAAAAATAAATAAAAAAATAATAATTATCCATCACTTACAGTTAGGGTATTTTCTCCAATTATAAATAAATCAGTATTATGCACATTGATGTCTGCCTCAGCAAAGAGTTGCAATGTCTGGAAAGTGGACTGAAAGAGAAGATTAACAAAAATTGTAAAGCTCTGTTACAGGACAACTCAATTAGAATACAGACATTCTAAAGTCTTGTTTTTAAATCTTCATAAGTCTTCAGAACCATAACAAATTCACAGTATTAAGAAAATTAAAGTGATCTTTCTTTTTATTTCTCCCAAGATAGTGCATCTATGAAAGCAATTATGTAATCCTGATAATTTCTTAATTTTGTTGTTTTTATTTATTAGCAGTAAAACTGCAGAACTCTCCCCCTTTTATCTTCTTTAACAGATCAAATTAAATAGAATAATACAATTGTTTTTATAGTTATTTCAAAGCTGTTGCTTCTGATAGCTGGGAAGAGACGAGAAAAATATAACAGTGAAAAAGGGAGAAATCTCTCTGGTTTTTGAAAGAAATGGAAACTGGATGTTCTCTCCCTTTTTTTTTCCTTGTGACCTCTACCCAATTCTTCTTTTTCCCCCTTTATTTTTTTCCCTACCACTGTCTGTTCCTCTCCACTGCTTAAATTCTGACATCATGTCCTCAGCTTAAACAAAGAAGACAAAAATCCAGGCCAGTTCCCATTTGAAAAGGGACCATGTGCCAGATACCACTTCCTCTGCAAAAGTATCCAGCTCAGTGCTGCTTTTATTTCCATGCCACCTCCCATGTCCTGCTAGCATGCTGGTCCCAAATCCTGCAGTGTCACTGAAGGCAGCTTCTGGTTTGTAAGACTACTTGCTAATCATCTCAGATGCAGTGAGCGCTTTGTCCTTTTGCCTCCTCAGCCATTTCTCTGGTTCTGAAAACCCTATCACCACTGCAGGTTCAGGTATGGTGGGTCTGACACTGGGAGTGTGAGCTGCTGTGATCCCACAGCCATCAGTGTGCACTGAATGATCGTCTGCAGCACACAGCATGCCTGCACCATGGCAGACTGTCCTACAATCCTGGAAACTGGAAATCTGCCCAAGCATGTTTCAAAACACCTTCCCAATTCCTAAACACATCTTTCTTTGCTTTGGTTAGCAGGTAACATACCAGGAAATCTTCTCATCCTGGACAAGGCTGATGACTTGCATTTTTGGCTGTTTGTAGGAGTATTTGCACTGAACATTCACAGTCAAATAGAAACAACAAAATGGGAGATGAGAGGAAAACTGTCATTTTCCATCTTCCCTTCTCATCTCTGAGTGGTAAACAAATTGTTTCTAGGCACTGTGTTGTACAAGTAACAACCTTTTATCCGGGTCTCCACCTTCTGCACATCTGTCAGCACTAACAAATACTCTTGACCCAGCCAATTTGAAAAACACCACCTTTAAACACGGGCAGATGCTTTTCTTCACATACTTGCATAAGTATGTTACATTATCAGCCTGACCTTTTCATTTTAAGAGCTGAATGGTGAAGCTGACAGCAACCCTGCTGTTAAATGTCAGTACCTGCATCAGACTTGCCAGACAGAGTAATGAGACTGCGTCATGTTCTTGATGCTCTGTGCAAACCTGGGTCTCTAAGACAGCTTGGTTGGGTGCCTAGCTGAGAAGCCAACATGGTCTCTTTTCAAAAGTCTGGTAATTCAAGATGATTAATGTCCTGGAGGACACATGATGATTTAAAATGGGAAAGTCAAGGTATTATTGATGGATATTTTTAAGCATCCTGTAGTTCTTTAGGCAAGGACAGTTTCCTTGACGCCAGCTCTAATAAAAACAGAAAGTCAATTAAAAGTTTTCCATGCCTTCTCTAGCAAACTAACTGGCAGAGCTAATAGGCTTTTCCTATTTTGGTGTGACTTGAAATGATCACTATGTAGCTATGATGTTCAAAAACTAAGAGCAATATTATTTTCTAGGCTATGACTACACTCTACTTTGCTCTCTTACACTGAATTTTGTGGAGCTATAGTTCCCCTTAAATTAATTTAACATATGCAGAAAATGTTTTATACAGCTGTGAAGATCTACATTATTGCTGCATTATCCTAGATTATTTGCTGGAATGAAGGTTCCAAGCTCCATTATCTAGCCTTACTCCTTATTTTATTTCTTGGTTCAAATTTTCAATCCAGACAAACACAATAACATAATATAATATTTTTAGACTGCAAAGTTCTCTTTAATGAACTTTGTAAAGCATCAGGAACTAGAAAATACTTGGGTATTGATTCATCATGAATATGCCAGTGGTACTCACAACAGCAAAGGTACCATTCCAGATTCGGGTGGACACATTCACAAAATACTCTCCCTTCAGCATGAGGTCTTCCAGTTTGCATGTGATGGTACTGCACTTGGCATTCTTACAGTTCTTCCAGGGAAAATGGCAAGGAGAGACAACAGCATGCATTACAAATTACACTGTAAGTAATGGTCTTTTTACATGTAGGTAGAAGTTTTACTGTCCCGTGCCCACACCTTAAGTGTGTGCACACTGTGAAGTACACACAGTACTTCTCTCTAAGGCAGATGCAGCATGAGAACATCACTTCTGCACAGCAGGCGAGGAATGCCATGGCCATCACAGCAATCCCCACAGGTGCAGCAGAAAATGTCAGCCCTGCACCCATGTCCTGGCCTTACTCACCAGCTCTTTCACAGCTCTGAGGTTTTCTTTCTTGAAAGATGCAGAGTAAGGTCTTTTTCCTATCTGCAGTGGATTTATCTGAACTTGACAAGTAACACCTCTGGCCTAGGAGATGGACAGCAGAATTAAAATTGGTTGGCATGCTCTGAGGTTTACAGTCATCATAATATCATATATTCCTGATGGCATGGTTGCTGTGAAATTATAGGTTGTGAATTATATAATACTGGATAATTCAGAAACCAATAAACAATATAGATTTTTAGTCTGCTCTTCTGGTAATTTTTTTTCCTCCTAGATCATGCTGAAAGTTTTGTGCTGATCAAAAAATTCCATTTTTACTATATTCCTCCACAGAGCTTGGAGAAGAACCTAGTTGAAGAGTTCCAGGGTGATATGAAGACTCAGCTGTGCACTGCACAGATAGCTGGCATCTGCCAAGGACTAGACTTAGTGTACTGCTGATGTTGTGGTCCTCCCCCACACTTTCCCATCTGTGACTAAGAGACAAAAAGAAATCACAGCTACACTATGAAGGCTGATGTACATAGTGCTGGCTAACTCTCAAAACATGGCAGCTTATATGGCTCAGTTCTTCACCTGATCTGTATCAACTGCAGTTATGTACATCAGTGGGTTGTCTTTGCTAGTTAATTCTGGAAGATGGATTTTCACAGATGCCATCTTCACTGGAATACTTCCTGTTGTTACCTGCAAAACAAATAACTCATAATTAATTCAGGTAGTGATACCTACATACACATAAATTATTTGGTCTATCAAAAGAAAACCAAAACAGGGATAATTAAGATAGAATAGGATTCCTTTTGCATCAGTACTTTTATGTTGATACATTTAATGGGTAAATAATGACAGTATGCCCTAATGGAAAGTGTACTATGCTGTATACCTTCAGAGTACCGTATATACAGCATAGCTTTGAATACCAGTCTGTTTCCTTAGCAAAGGTCTTATTAACTGGATGAGGTATTTTTTGAAAAGCAAATATTCTGCCACAGCCAATAAGCCTTTACAGCAGCAGTTACAGAAATGTAAATGGAACATAATTTAAGTTTCTTCCATGTTGCATATTTGGATGTGGCGTTTTTTTGAGGTATGTAATAAATGTTGTGATCTGACTAGTCCTTGCATCTGGTTTGAGCACTTAACCCTCGCCAAACTTAAATTTCAAAGTCCAAGCCTGCAAAGACTCATTTTTCTTTGTGAAGAGAATAGAAGACAAATAAGCTCTGTGAACAAATAGTGTAAATTGGACTGAAGTTAAGCATTAACCATCTTCCAAGTACATAAACAATGCAGGACCAATCCCTCCCCAGCCTACTCATGCATTAAGTGCAAATTTCATTCTTGACATCATAAGACTGTAAGCATTTATCCCCCAGCTATTTGCCATTTTTTTTTCCTATTTGACTGATTCAAAAGCATCAAAATCAGACAGTGAAACAGAACTGTTTTTTCAACTGTGTTTTGGGTCCCAGTTATAAGAGGAGGTAAAGTGGCTTCACAGACCAGAAACAGAAACATTTACTAACCTTCACTGAGAAGTTGAATGTGGGGCCTATATCTTCAAAATTATTCACAGTGGAAGGAATGTTATGACCAGAGTATACTTCATAGAAGTTGATGTTGGCAAGCCTATGTAACAACCACAAAACAATACATTACAGTTGGCAGCTACTTTGAAAACATATGCAACTGAATCTGCTTTGGTTTGTTTTAAGTTTGTGAGATGGGTCAAAAGTATAATGAGAAGAAAAACCAGTCACTTGTACTGGTCTTTGAATTTTACAAATTTGTTTAGGAAAAGAAGAGCTATACTGAAGCCCAAAGCCAAGAAAGCATGTGGAGCCAGCAGTGCAGCATCAGATGTGGTTTCTGCTCAGCCTCCTGCACCCTACAGTGCATTTGGCACTGTACTGCAGGCTCCTCTCCCAAGAACAAGTGCTACTTTTGGCCCTAATGTGCTCTGTTCCACATGGGCTTATTTCCTCACTGTCTGGGTGTGCACACACAGCACCCTGCACATGTGCATGACACATTCTTACACTACTCTGGGACACTTTTTTTTTTCATTCAGAATTCCCAAAAGAACATGACGGTGGCTGCAGCCCAACATATCATGAAATGAGGGGTGCCTGATGGAAGAAAATGCTGGGAGGGCCTGTAGATGTTTCAGGGTTCAACCAGGTGGGACCACACTCAAAGACAAAAAAAAGAATCCCTGTGTAAATAACTGCTTCTATGTGCTCCTTGGGAACAACTCTTAGGCTGAAACATCTCAGAATTTTATAGTCTTCATCCTAGAGAGGGCGTACTCAAGCAGTTAAAAAAGTAGAATTTGGGAAGTGAGTTAGGAAGAAGCAGAGGCCATCATGACTCCTTCCAGCAGCTCTGTGTAGCACAAACTACAAATCCCTTCTGTTTAGCAGTGCAGCTCTATCCATTTAATCTGGGTAACATCTGTGCATACAATGCCAAATTAACATCTACAGTCTCAAAGAGGCACTTCCTGATGCGGTGCTCTTCCATCTGTGCAGGGATTCTCTGTGATCCTCCATGCTCTTTCCCATGAGGCCTTTCCCTGCAGGGCCTCCTAACAACAACTTGCAGGACAATCCATATGGAGCTCTTTCTTATTGCTCGAATTTCCAATTCTTCTAGTTTGAAAGTATCAACTTCCTGTTCTTGCAGTTGTCACTGATAAGATTGATTCCCACCTCTGAAAACTCAGATAAGAAGATTTTTTGCTAGAAAGGACGCCCTTCAGCAAGATGACTTTTTTTCCTCAGTTCTTATTTAAAAAGTTTGTTACTTGCTAAAAATTACCTGTCAGAGGAGGAAACTATTTCCATATTGGTATTTGCTAAGAGTTACTAAATCCAAGAGAAGCATTTAAAGTTGTACACTGCCTTAATGTGTACTTCCTTCAATTCTTTTGAAGCTGGTTCATCTCCAAGAATAACTAAACAACTTTCCTGACTGTAGAGATTCCTTCATCCCTTGACTTGCGTAGGAAATTACTTTTTCTGATACTTCAGGGGAAGCAGGTGAATTTGAAATCCTATTTTTCCTTGAGCAACTCTTCTATAAGCTCTCTGCCTGTTTTTGTGGTTTTTTTTGTTTGTCTTTTGTTTTTCTGTAATTATTTCTCAGATAAAATAAAATTGCTGAATCAACTTTGCGCCACCTGAAATTCCTACTGAGCTACTCCTTAATTTGGTGTGATAGCCACCTACTCAAATCCTTCTGTAGTCTTTGTGCTCCTGCCAACTTGAATAACAAACACTCTTCTACTGAAATCCCCTGTGACTTTCCCAGGGAGTTGAAAGAATTTGCTGGTCTAAATACATGCTTTTCAGCAACTACAAAAAATTGGAAAAATTCTGTCAGACTCTAGACCTGGTGGGCCCAACCGTGGTGAGCCCAGGGCCTTAGAACAATAAAACTGCAATTGCAATGCAGTTTATTAAAATAAGCTTCTCTGTCATGATCCAGATTCAAGGTCAGGTCACTGCAAGAATCTCTTGTGTTATGTGTCACGGTGGTTTTGGAATATTCATTTCCTAAATTCATCATTGCTGTGCATTTTTAAACAGCTTTCTTATTTTCATATTTCTGTCATAGTTCGAATAACTGCCATTTTTTTTCTGCCATTTTATGTTTATTGATTTTGGAATGTTTTGGAATGCGAAAGCATTTTTTTCCACTGTTAGTTCATGACTATGTGCATCAAGTATAGGTCCACAAATTTTATCTGAAAATTCAGCAGCTGGGAAAGATAACATTCCTTTGATGGAAAGTAAAATAGCGTATCTTAAACTGAGAGTCAAACTGAGAGTATTTTCATTTCATTTTTAATTTCAGTTAAACTTTAACTGGAATTGTTCTTGTTTGCAACATTATCAGACTAACTACTGTTTCAGTGCATCCCAAATCACCGAATGTTCCCATGGTTGAAAATAGAGGTTTCAAAGCCTTGAAGTCAAGATCAGTCTTATCGGGACTTTTGTCTCTCTCTCTCTCTCCCCCTGGCTAACTGGCTCTACTCACAATCTGCATTTCTCAGGATACCGCATCCGACACACACCAACCTCAGCTGCCTCCGAAGTGGAGGGACAGGCTCATGATCCTAGCCCTAGGCAGGTGGGAGAGCAAGACTTGCTGCTCCTGCTGCCACAATAGGTAGGGTGGGAGCGGAAAGAAAAGCCAAGGGAATTTCTTGTGACTTCCAGAAGAACAGAACAAAGTTTTGTATACTTTCAGTGGTCTTTCAAAACTGTTTCTGTATTTTAATGCCTTTGAAAAAATGACAGTGACTCCTTCCATTATTCAGCTTACCTTGTGAAGTGAATTTCTGCATCATACCGCAAAGGAATTGACAAGCTGATCTTGTTGTCCTGTTCTTGCTCTTCTTTACTTTCACTGTTCATCAAAATACATTTTGATCAGGTGTTTTCATATTATTTTGTACAAATGTCCTACTAATACAGAATTTGCTTTATAAAACACTTTACCTCAATGCATGAAAACTTAGAACTGCCATATTCTGAAGATTCTTCAGGTTAAAATCAAAACTAATATCAAAAGACACCTATGGAAGAAACAAGGAACACAGAGTAAATGAGTCGACGATACAACACCAAGAGAACTTAAAGGTTGCAATGTAATTATTCATATACAAACATCACCCTCTGTTACTGATTTCTCCTGTTTCTGTGTAATTCAATAATCTCTTGATCCTTCAGAACTGTATTTTCCTTTCTTTCATGCACAAGTCAACTCTTGTTATGTAAACATTAGCTATCTGTATTTTTAAAAGATGTGTCACTTGCTTCAGGCTGCAACAATGGGTCTTTAGATTGCTTCAGTTACATATTTTTACATGTTTAAACACCAGCACTCACACAGCCTTTTCAGTTTCTCTTTTCTTCCAGTCATTCCAACAGGTCTGCTTTGACCAATGCAATTAGTAATTAAAAAAACCCTAATGTTATATATCTAATGGGACTTCTTTAGCTTTGCAGAATGTCATGTTTATATTACTTCTGGAAAGTCTCTTATTCCTCCAACTGACTATGCTAAAGGCTGGAAGCCTATTTCTGTTCTGCCTCAGAGGAATAAGAGATTAAGTTCCATAAAACCAGGGATATCCTGAGATTTATGGCATAAATGAGAAAAAGGATATATGATCTATCCTCAGGTTCTCCTCTCCTCTCCCTCTCCACAGCACCACTTCCTTGCAGAGCTGAGCTGGAGCAGCTGCCCAGGTTTGCTCAGCAGTGAGGGTTTGATGCACTGCACAGAGCCCCCAGAAGGCTGCGAGTGGCAGCTGGCTGCTCATCTCTTGTCTTCTCCACAGCCTCACTCTGCAAGGGTTACAAAGCTACAGAGGCATTTGGGTTGTACGGACAGAGAGAAGTGTGCTTTAGAGCATTTTTTTCCTTTAATCTAAGTATACTGGTCATCACTGTTTAGGCTCTGAATTGCTTCTTTCAGTGCCTCTGAAATCCAAGAGGAAGTTGCCTATTGCCAGCCCTAAAATACTCAACAACAGTGTATGCAGACTTAGGGGAAAACAAAAACAACAAAAATGCTTTGGTATGTCAGTTGGGGTTATTCAATTGTGCTAGCTGTACCTGTTGTCCTGTTCGGAAAACAGGATAGCTTATCTGGCAGATGACTGTAGTTTGAGATGTTCCTGTCTGACATGAGACCTCAGTCCCATCGTTCTGCAGAGGAAACAGAAAAGTCATCTTAATAGCAGTTTCTAATAAAAGACAGGAAATTCCCAGCCTGCCTATTCCACATGAGCTGTGTTACAGTAAGAAGCTGTACCAGTAGGTGTTATAGCAATAATTCCTAGAGATGAGATGGATGGGAATTATAGGTAGGGCTAGGAGTGAGGCAGGAGAATGGTGGAATAAGGATTGATCCTATGTAATTTCTCTGGACTCTAATGATCTTGCAGAAGCTTCATGCTGGGCTTGAAAGAAGGAATAATGACCATAGTGTAGGCCACCTACTTCATTAACACTTATTGCGCTTTTTAGAATATTGCTGCAGAACTTCTACAGTAATATTTGCATGGCCTGAGAGACGGTTAAGTACTCTCACCATAGAAATTAGTGTGTGGAAGAGAAATCTTATACTTTTTGTAGGAAAGTCTACAATAATTAGGAATTTATGTATTACTCTGCGGAAAATTTAGCATGTCAGCATCTCACATCAAAGGAAAGACAAATTCATAGACTATAGCCAGTTATCATGACGCTGAAAATAATAGAATGTACTGGTTTTTTGTAAAACATATCTCTACCAGATACTTACCATTCATGATTTATATATATATATATATATAAAATGTAAGCTTTGAACAAATAGCTTATAATATTTCAGCTTTGAAAAAGGCATGTTTTTTTGGGGAAAAAAACTTCACTTGCAGGCTGGAATACTTCTAAACAAATGAGCTTTTAAAGTGGAAGAAAAGCCTAGCTCCAGTGTGGTCCTTTGGTAAGAATGGAGTGAGTAATTTTGCTGTGCAACAGGATAGGGAGGTAGAGGGGCACACTCAGCACAGTATGGAGTCCTTCTGCCAATTCATTGTTCCAGAAAATGTGGCTTTTGGACAGTGATGAATGCTCCTATCTCTTCATTATTGCTCTGGACTTCACCCCTTGTATTATCATGCATCTCCCCAGTAGCAGGCTAACGCATAGGCCAAGCACTGAAATCTGGATTTCATCCTGAATTGAATTGTTTCAGAGAAACAGTTCAGTTTAAAGATCTACTGTATTCCCTAAATAGTCTGTAAATTCCTTTATTTTCCCTTCTCAGATCAAATCTGTTAGAAGAGCTTCTGGTATAGCAATCATTTCAGTCTGATTAACTGTCTATAGCTGGAATACGTGATGTTGGCAGTGAAACCACTTTTAGATCCAAAGTCTTCACTTTAAAGTTGCATCTGTGCTGCATGCTTTATCAAATATGAATTCCCTGCAACTGCACTCAGGCATGTTTTTGGGAGTCAAGCACAAGATATGACTGCCAAAGCCTAAAGTGAGGAAAAGATGACTTGAAATACTGACGTGAGGTCAAACTCAACAGGTTGCCAACTTTTATGCTGAGTTGGCAGTGGTTCTCCTTGACCTATATAAAACTGATATGCTGAAGAGAATAATTCTGGTAGCCAAGAAAATAAACTGAGAGAAAGATTTGCACACACATTCTCCTTTCTTGGGACAGACACTAATAGACAGGAAAATACGTTTTTTTGGAGAAGCTGGAAAATCGGCAGCAGTAACAGAAACAGTGAAGATGGGTAACACGTACCGGTAAGGAGGAAGAAGCAAAAAACAAGTTGTCTGAAAACGTAGCCTGGATTCTGGTGTTATATGCATTTTCTTTTTTATTTTTCAATTTCACGTTGAATGTTAGTCTTTTGTTTTTGCTGCTGACAATGAACTGCTGTTTGCTGTTGGAAAATGAAGTTCAATGTTGTAAATAGAGGTAATAGAACAGCTGTGGATCATGAAACTGTATCATACTGTGTTGCCTTTAGCCAAGAAAGAATAACAAGCACAGCAAGACATTTCCTATTTTCTATTCATATAAATCTTTTGCTTTCTAAACCCTGTGACATGAGAAACTCTGTGATTATGTTTTTCAGAACCAATTAGAATTAATGTCATTGTTAAGTGCAGAACTCTGATCGTGTACAGTCAAAGTCACTTTGTTGAACTTTCACATTTTCCACCATGGTAAGAAAGGTGAGCGGAGAATAGGCAGTTGAGTCAGACTGCAGCTTCAGGAGGAGGCAGTTTTGTCTGTCTTCATACTGTAAATGTACGTGTGTGTCTGCTTATGGATTTAGAGTACGTGCTTATACACTGATCTCCTCTCCCCAGCGACACAGCCTGATGCAGGAAACTCTCTGTTCCTCACAGGAGGGTCTGAAACTGCTGCTGTGGCTGCTCTCCTAGAGCACTTCTTCTGACACAGTCAGATAGACACTGCTCTTCTGAGTTTTCAGTGTTTACTCATTCATACAGTACCAAAAAATCAGTTTTGTCTACACTGATAAGAATACTGCTTCTGTATCTCTGTTCATATTACACCCCTTTTTCCTTGGCTACTTATTTAGGCAGAAATGCTATTCTTTTCTTTTTTTTTTTCCTCTGTTATTTCTAAATAGATTTTGCATCATAATGGTATTCTTATATAGAAACTCATTCAGAGCCTAAAGATAAGCCAATCCATGAAATCCACTAAGAAAATGTCTCCACCAATCCCACTTGTTGAGGTCTTACCCATCATCTCCCTTCTGCTGTACATTCAGGACAAGATCACAGATACAAAGCTCATCTTCACCACAGTCTTTAATAAAAGGAATCTACCAAAAACAAACAAACAAACAAACAAATAAATCCTGAATGACAACATCCTGAATGTTTTACTTTAAAATTATCTAGGGCAAGTAGAGTCTTAGACACCTTAGAGGGAAAGAACATCCCTTCAAAGGACATTAAGAATTCTGACACACAAAAAAGCTAATGCTGAGAAGCATGCATTCACATCAGCTGATCCGTAAGAACAGTGCAGGTAGGGTGTTGCTAGCCTAAATCTGATGTAATCTGAAGGAATCCTGTATGGGAACTGCTGAATCGGCCTGAACCTCTGATTGATCTCCTGAGGCAAACAGTGAGTCAGCCACGGGAGCGCAGGTGAAGGCAATTCACCTGTGCTGCCGGAAGGGGTGGAGCCTGGATCCACCTCTCCTAGACCCATTTAAGAGCTGACTACCAGTGGGGAAGGATCTCTTCTGGAGTTTTATAAGCAAGCCCAGGATGTAGGTAAGCATCCTCTCTATTCTCTTTTTGTTATTATAACCTGCTTTGCCTAACTCTCTTGTTTATTTCATAATTATAACATCTTAATATTCATTGATTATACAAATCCACGTTTCCCAGTTACTCTTTTATTGTAGGTTAAACTGACTTAGATTACTTCATACTGCAATGCAATAGAAATTTACATGAACAGTGACTTGCTCTAACAGGATGCTTGTTATGCTATGGTGTCTGTTGTGTGTTGGTGAGCAAAGATTATGTTATCAGGGTATAAAGCAACAGAGACAGGATATGTGCAGGTGCCTGCTTTCAGTCCAATGACTTAACTGGGATATGAGTTTTTACCTCTATGTAGCTCCTCAGTGATTTTATAGGTCATGTTATGCATAAGTGTATAACAATGCACTGTCCTACAGTGAGGTTGTGTACTTACACTGTAGGCCACAGATGCAGGAGAAGATGTATCAAGTACAGGGCTGGTGCCAGGATTTGCTAGGCCAATGTCAATGCGCACATTAAGGGAATTGACTGCATCAGAAGGTTCCTGTAAAACACAGATGATAGCTCTCAGCACAGCAAATAACATAAAAATGGTAATTCTGTTGTAAATTTATGATGTGTAGTAAAATAATGCTTTCTCTAAACATGAAGTAACAATGTAAAACTCCATTTATTTACCAAAATACTTTTGTGAGATTGCCTAGTGTGGTATCCTCTTGCTAAACACTTCTGTTTCCATTTCTGTGATAAAACTCTTTTTCCAAGTATTCCAAAATACTCTATTCATCACATACATGTGTAGACTTTGCATCTGCAGAAGCTAACCATCAAAAGCCAACAGCAGGTGACTTTCCTTCTCAGACTGCTGCAGGAATCAAATTCCTATTCTAGTCTGCTTAGGCAGCGATAAAACACTATATGCCTTGTATCTATTTAGTTTCTTTGTTCTGGGTGGATACTCTTCTAGTTCATGGCTCCACGATAACAATAAATGTGATCAACAAGTCAAGAATATCTTCCCTCACTGAATTTGGGTATACAATAAATAAAAGAAGGAAGAAACTGAAGGAGGGATGTGAGAACATTCCTATTTACTATTCAGCGCTAAGCCTGCTGGTTTTAAGTACTGCAAAGCAGACTCAAAATACTCAGACTTTCTAATACCTGACATGGCACAATGCAGGGGGGTTACTGCAGGTGTTAGGGCTGTGTTTGGCCTTGATTCTAGAGAAAGATGGACACTTTATCTCAAATACAACTTGTGTATACTTAGGGCTAGCATGCATGAGGAAGAAAAGTCCACCTCAAGTGTTAATTTGAAATAAGACATTTGTATGTGTTATTGCTGGTCAAGAATCTAAAATTTTTAGAAACTAAAGGGAAACTGACATCTATTGAAACTATGGACTGTTTCTTTCCAGAACTAAAATACATAAATATGGCTGTTTCTGCCTTTAAAAGCTGTGATAAATAAGATTTATTATTTTCTTTGGAACTGGTATCTTACTCTGTGTTTTTCAGTATTGCAGAATTCAAGAAACTTAAATCCTACGTGAGACAATGTACACAAGCTGGAACATAGGAAGTTCAATACAAACATGAGGAAAAATTCTTCACTGTGGGGGAGATAGAACATTGGGACAAGCTGCCCAGTGAGGTTGTGGAGTCTTTCTCTGGAGGTATTCGAAACCCACTTCAAAACTTTCCTTCATGAATGCAACCTACTATAGGGAAACTGCTTTGGCAGGGAGGTTGGACTTGATGATCTCCAGAGGCCTTTCCAGCCCCTACAGTTCTGTGATGGAATTCATCTTACAGACATAAAATTCATTAACATCTTCTGATCATTTTTGTTACAACACCCCTTACAATTGCACTTACCTGTACGTTGAAGATGTCCTGAACGCAATTCATGGAATGAGTCACCACAACATCCCTCTGCATGTACCTTTCATTATTTTCTTTGAAAAGTCCTCTAGAAGTCACTCGGGAGGACTGGAGATCTGCATCCAGTGTTGCATTGCATTTTATAGCTACAAGAAAAATAACAGTAATTTTTTTTTTTTTTCTGAGCCATACTGCCTGTGATCTCATTACTATGCTCAACACTGCAGAATGACCAGACTTTCCAAACCACAATAAATATTTTACTTTTTTTCATAGTAATCACAGAACATTCTCAAAATGTTAAAATTTTCTCTTGTGTTTTCCAAAGCAGTCCAACAGTTTTAAATTCTGAAGTAAGTTCTCATTCACAGAGAGCATATTAAATGGCAATCAATCCAGTCTCCACTTCAGATAGCTGAGCCTGCATCTCAGGCAGGAAGCCAGTTAGCAGGGCCAGGATTATAGCAGATAAAGAGGCATTGCAATCATATCCCCAAATTCTGAGATGACTATGAAAAATCTGCGTCTTCTCTTCAATCACATCAGAATTTCTGACTTATTCTCTTCACAGGATGACTAATGCACCTTGAAAGTTTTATTTTATAGCTAACAATCACAAGGTCCAAAAGGCACTGTGAGTAGGACCGAAGCAGTCCAACTGGTGTTGGACTAAAATGGCTTCTTGAGAGATGAGTGCTGGTCTCAGAAATATTCTGCACTCTCCTGTTCTCTGAAAAGAAAAGGTTCTCTCCGTGGACTTCTGCACTGATCTTATGGAAATTATTTTTATGCTGAAGAGAAAAGAGTCTGAAGTCTGCTATTGAAACAGCAGCTCACAAAGACTCTGTCCCCAAACAAGCATCCTCCAGAGATACCCATTCACCCTTACTAAAGTGTGTTGCCATATGTGAGTGACATCAGCTAAAGGAAAAAAAAACAGAACTGGTGAGCAAAGGCTTAACATAAAATGAAAAGCTTCTCAGTGTCAACATTTTCTGGGTTTTGTCATACCAATTTTCTTTATATTGTTAATTCCTCACTTTTTACAAGATTATGGAGCCGGTGATGACAGTAGATTTTAAAAACACTTCCTTAAGCACTTAAATTTGATAGTGATTTCACCTTTCTTGACACCTAATGCATTATTTCTTTAAAATTTCCACTACACATTTGAATAATGGATTTCTGAAAAAATTAATATAAAACAAGCCATTGAAATATCTTACCCACTTGATTATCTCTCTTAGGTCTAAATGTAGCCTGAAAACATATTTTGACAGTTATTTCAGTGTTCTTGTTCAGCAGACTGATTTTCTCAGGTATAAACGAGGCAATTATGGACACATTTGCAATGCTCTGTGACCTGTAAAACGTTTTTCAAGTGTTACATGTGATTTTCAACAGGACAGTGTAACTTAGACAGTATTCTCTGCTACTGTTTGTAAATGTAACATAGATCTTTTGAGTTCTCAATGGAAACAGTATTTATGGCACTGGCAAAATTATTTTTATTTGCATACAACTAAGTCTATTAATACAGTAGCTTTGAGAAATATAATTAAATAAATAGTGTATCATATCAAATTAATAGCTAATCAATATCTTTGTCCCAATGCCCTAATCAGTCCCTTATGATAACAGAGAATGAAGCCCTTGCCCTGTTTTCCCAACATGAAACCTTCTTCTGATCCTTTTGGGAAGTCATTGAGTTCCTCTGGAAAGGTAAAGAAGGGTAGTTCTTGTAAATTATGCCTTTGTTTTTCAGAAAAACATCTTCCATGTAATTAGAACAGTTTCAAAGTAACCCCACTTGTTAAAAAAAAAAAACACTTTAATAAAAAATGAAACTCATTAATCAGGCCAAATTCCAGAGTGAAGGAAAAATGAGCATCTTCATTAATCACATAGAAATAAATGCTGGTACTACAAGGAGCATTATTTTCTTTAATGCAATCTCTATCAGCACCAGCAGGAGTTCTTTTGTAGGTCAAGGGTCCAAACTGACCATTCATTTTGTAAACTCTTGCTTTATTATGAAATAAATGGCAATTCAGTGATGTTTTTCTCATTACAATGGGGGCCCTCAGGCAAGAGGAAGGGTGACAGATTGGGCAGCAAGCTACATTTTAACTTTGCTCCCCACAGAAGCAGTGTAAAATACACAGTATTTGTGGAGGCACAAGTTTAGGTTCTTGAAGCCTTTCTTCTTTATTTTGAGAAGTACTCAGATTGTGTCAGTAAAGGCTACATGCTTTTAGTATGGGTTTCTGGGCAGAAGTAGATGCCAACTCAATCGCATCCATACCCAGAATAATCACTCTTCCTTTGTATAAGCCTATCAGCTCACAATAGCTCTGCAGGTTCTGTAGGAGGTAGCTTTGTCTCTCTCAGTACCAGAATTACCTTGTAGCTGTTGAAGCATGCTGTTATGAAAACTGCCCAGCATGCCCCTCTCCCCTCTGCTACTCTTTCCTTCCAGACCATATGCCCCCAGAGGAGTGTTTCTTCCCCCCACCCTCCATGTACCCCTCTCACAGCCCTCACCATCCAACTTCCCTCTCTGCATCTTGGCTCCTCCCTCAGGCTGGCTTGGCTTTTGGTAGTTTGATTATAAGTACTTAGTAGAATCATAGAATGACCTGGATTGAAAAGGACCACAATCATCATCTAGTGTCAACCTCCTTGCTATGTGCAGGGTAATCAGCCAGCAGACCAGGCTGCCCAGAGCCACATCCAGCCTGGCCTTGAATGCCTCCAGGGATGGGACATCCACAACCTCCTTGGGCAACCTGTTCCAGTGCGTCACCACCCTCTGGGTGAAAAACTTCCTCCTAATATCTAACCTAAGCCTCCCGGTCTCAGTTTAAAACCATTCCCCCTTGTCCTATCCCTATCCACCCTCATAAACAGCCGTTCCCCCTCCTTTTATACGCTCCCTTCAAGTACTGGCAGGCCATCATGAGGTCTCCCTGCAGCCTTCTCTTCTTCAAGCTAAACAACCTCAGTTCCCTCAACCTTTCTTCATAGGAGAGGTGCTCCAGCCCTCTGATCATCCTAGTAGCCCTCCTCTGGACCTGTCCAAGAGCTCCACATCCTTCCTGTACTGGGGGCCCCAGAAGTGTACTTGGAAGCTGTGTATTAGTGATGAAGCATTAAGTATGTAAGCTTTCTGAACACATGGAATGCAAGAGCTTTATGATTTGTTTTGCTGCTTAATTAAGTAAATGTCCAACTTTCATCTGATTCATTAAATACTGCTTTTCCTAAAGAGTTTACCGACCAAAGCAGAACCACGTTTCCATCTGCACCAACTGATACATCAGTAATGTCATTGTCATCTAAGTCTCCATGGCCATCTACTGATCTTCCAAAGAATTTGAGCCGTTTTCCAAAAGCAGAATCCGATCCTAAAATTTTCTGGGAAAGAAAGTTTGGTTACTATGTTGCCACAGCAATGCTTTAAGCATGTAGATATCAGCCCAAACAATGGATTTTTGCAGATTCTCTCTGTATACATAACATATTGTTTAAACAAAAAAACTAGTGTGAATGTTTTCTCAAATGCTGTTAAGCACTTTTTCCTCCCCTGTTGGAGGAGACAATGGACTAGAATTTTCTGTCTTGGTAGTAAATCAACTAGCTGACTGCTTTATGCCAGCCAGCACTTATTGGAAACTTTTTCCATCTCACATTGAGCAACTCAAAGAATAGGAAGCTAAACAGGACTTCTAACAAATAATTTCTGCAACCAGAAGCTCTGCATGGAAAGTGATATTAAAATTATTACTATTATATGAGCATACTATTATATGAGCTCATGCTCACCAAATATGCAAATTTCTCTGAATTATTTTTCCTCAAATACATATTTTTAATTTCTTTATTTCAAATTTACAGTGTGGGGAGTTATCTAATCTTCAGTACTGCACAACAGCTTTAAAAACTTGATTTGCAGGTGTCAAAAAAGATAAAGAAAATGAGTTGATTTCATATGCATGCACCAAAATCATGAGAGGCTCAAACAGAGCCTCTGTACACTTCAGCTGTAAGCACCACAACAGTATCACTCAGGACATGCTGACAGCTGAAGTAAGGAGGGGAATAAAACTTGAAATAAACCATGAAAATAACAATACTAAGAGGATGAAACCATGGGCAATAAAAGGATAGAAAATCCTTCAGTTTTCCTCTAGCACATCTGAGTACAACATTGCACAACACAGTTATTTACCTGAGAATATTTGGTACGTATTGTCTTTTGAAACCCATTGTAAATATAAATTGCTCCAGAGTTTTGATTTTCCAGTGGTGCACCTATTACAACATCATTAAAGCCATCCAAGTCAATGTCTGTAAGTGCTGCAATTGCTGATCCAAAGCGAGCATTTTCTGAACCTTGTGGGCCTTCCAAAAGCTCTTGTTGATCCAAAATTCCCTTTATAAAAGGAAAAAGAAGAAAAAGCCAAAACATAACTATCATGACACCAGATTAGACATAGGAGCACTATCTATGCGCATTGTTTTTTGCTTTTTTTTTTTCCCTCCCCCAGTACATTCCCCTTGGACTGCTCAACCCTGAATTCCTTCCCCATTGTATTGCCCATTCAGTTTGCATTATGTCTCAGAGTCTTGGCAAGCATTACACAGCAAAATTAAAATGCTATGCAGAGTACTAACAGCAAATATAACCATATGTATAAAGCTTAAGTGCTCTCACTGTCCTCATCTGACTGTTCTGAAAGTTTCACAATACATTGAAAAATACAGTTTCCAGTTTTGGATTACCAGTTTTTATGCAGAGGGAATGGAAATTATGTAACTGGACATAATTCTTTGAAATAGAAATGGAATTTCCTAACTATACTAATGCAAAAAACATGTGTCCAAATGGTAAACTCCTGACCTCTGCAGTGCCAATGAGGAAAGAAAGGCTGGAGATCTTTAGAGTTAAATAATCACATTTATATTACCTTAAACCCTGCTCTTTGGCAATTATCATTCTCATCTCTAACCTAAGTTATCACACTGTGCTCAAAATGTTATAAATACTAGCCAAGTTATTTGTTCAAAATGACTAGAAATGTGTAATTTATGCAACATAAACAGTTTCACAAATTCAGGTTTTGTTTTTTGTTGTTAAACCACTCTCTCACTATATTTAACTTTTAAATAATTTTAAATCCAGTATTTGTCAAAGATTAAAATTTGTAAGGATAGCCTTTCAGTGTATTCATTTTTTGAAACATGAAAAAAACCACCATCCTTTTCTTCTGTATTTTTTGTCTCTTTTCACAGTCACATTGACCAATGTCAGCTACCAACAGTACCGCTTCCAGTACTTCATCAACCTTAAAATTGCCCCAGGATACAGCTTCATCTTGCTCCAGGATAATTAGACTCTGAGCACTTCTGAAGAGGATGGTACTTCATCTCTGTTTTTCTGATCGTAATTTACCTAGTAAAATGCCATGTTCTCTAAAAGCTGCCATTAATAGGAAAAATTTACTTTGCATATTAAGACATCCATGACTGTTTGTGAGACTGTTCAGAACTACCAGATTTTTCAGGATGGTTAATACAAACTTTCTGAAAACACCTACCACAGATCTGAATAAAAAACAGTCAGTCAAGCATCACATAAACAGCACAGCTATGATGACAAAGGAGACAACATGAGTAATAGCAACCACCCACTGTAAGGTCCATGAAACAATGCACTGGCAGAACAGTGTTTATTAGAAGTGTTTTAGGAATACTGTTAGGTGTTGAATAGATTTCCTAAAATTACACAGAAAATTAATTAGCGGAAGCCACAAGGTTAACTTTACAGAGAAACAGTCAACTTGGCACTGCATTTATATACTGTGCCCAGCACAATCCCTAAAACCAAGGTCAGGGAGGAGCAAGCTGCAGCAGCCAGCCCTTAATCACTAATACTGCTTAGCTATTAGCTTGCCTCGTGGCTCTCTTTCAGACTGCTCCAGCTGGCTTATTACCAGATTATGTCCATGAGCGGAGGGAGAGTTTGCACCTGCTTCTGAAAAGCAGGACAGGAAAGACTGTGCTGGGAAGGACTCCATCTGCATCCTCTGACCATACTGCCTTTGCATCACTTACCCCCGCCCCTACACTACACCTCAGGTAAAGCACATGTTTTGTGTCTCTTAACAAAAACACCACTCTCAGCATTTCAAGTGCTCGGAGAAAGATAAACAAAATAAAGGCCCAGAAGAAGTCTGGAGCCAAGGGATTTTTTACATAGCTGTGTCCAGCCTCTGCAACAGGGTAGTGCTAAGAAATACTAGCCTCAGGGCAACGGATCACTCCTCTGATTGCTCTCTTCACCAAGTACTCATGATTGGACTGTCCTGATAAAACTCTAATCCAGGGAAAAACAGTAAATCCCAGCTAAAAATGAAAATGCCAGAACTTATTATGGAAGGATATGCAAGAAGCCAGTTCTAGGTTTGCTACATGCCTGTTCTTACCTTTATGATGGAGAACATATATACTCTCCCTTCTTCTTTCTTCAGGTCATTCATAAACATTGGTGCACCTACAAGCAACACATCTGTCACAGAGTCCTTGTTAACATCCACTGAACACACCACGCTGCCAAAATAGGAGCCAATCTGAAAACCAGTAAGAAACTTGAGTTTGTATGTGGATTTTGCAAAGCATAATGCTTTAACATCTGAACCAGAAAACACTTAAACCTGAAAAAGGCCCAGTAGTAATGAAACTGCCCATTGGCGTGAAACTATTATATAGCATACAGCATACTCCAGTGTTTTATGAATCACAACCTTACTGTGTGTTCACTGCTTCTGTCTAATAGTTGCTACCATGGCCTTACCACTAAAAAACAAGAATGAAAACAGAGAACAAGCAATGGAAGGTATGCTTTTTATATTAAACTGTGCACATTATACTCCACTATCTTTGTCTTACAAAGTAAAACAAAACTAAAGCCATCTAAGCTTTCCATTCTTTCCCAAATTGAGAGAAAGAAAAAACTTTCAATTTTCTCCCTTGATGTCATCTACTTCGCAGCTTCTCAGGCAGAGTGGAGCTCACCACATCCCTCCCAGTTAGAAGCGCTGACAGAATCATACATTATGTGGCTTTGTATATTACTTTGTACCAGCAGTAGAATGATATCGTAAAATATGCTTTAGGAGTTACAGTTAACCTCACTGAAATAGTCTGGTAGTAGAGAGAAATGCAAGTAGGATTCTAAGTGCACTGGAGAAAGGAATTTTTCGAGTACTGCATTCTACTCTATCAATAAGAACTGATGCTTTCAAAATCTGCAGTCGTAAACAAAATATACTTGCCTGTTCACCTCTCTGGGACTGCACAATTGAGATATTACCTCGGCTGTCAACATCATAAACCACAACTCTGCCAGTGTAGTTGGACCTTGGTGCACCAGCAACAAAATAGATGGAACTCTGAGTTGAGAGAACAGCAACTGAATATCCTGGGGGAAGAAGACAGCATATAACTTGTGAGAGTCCGGGAACCTCAGGTTATCAGCTGGTTATCCATAACGGCACAGACGACTCAGTCTGGTGTATTAGTGGCAAAGGATGGTGCCTATAGATAGGAACTGAAGTTGTCCCATATGCATCAAACCTCTTCTGGAACGAACAGAGGCACAGAGATGAGGTCGAAGAATGTTTGCAGACTAGCATGAACAATAGCCTAGCCTAAACATAGACCATTAAAATGTCAGTTTTATGAAGGAGATAGGAAAAATTGCACATAGAGTATCCTGGGAATGAAGAAATAAAGAGAAACTTGAGATAAACATTTGAGCCAGTGCTCCAACCAGGGAGAAACACCTAGCTCTGGCAAAGCCCTCGTTGCATTTTCTCACAACTCACAAAACCACAGCCCTGTGCTTTGGCTGAACACAACAGACCGTAATAGCTTGTCAGCTGAAGGGCTTAGTTGGTTGAATGTCTTTCCACATTTTAATCCTCATTCACATTATTCTAACATCTATTTGCTTTCAGGAAACATCTTTTAATGCCCACAGACATGTTACAATGCATTAGCACTGTAAGAATTGTTTTACTACACATTTTACATTTCTGTGATTTAACTACACCGGATTTATTTTAACACAACAAAATCACTCTTTCTAAAGTCTGTAGCTAAACTGAGTAACAAAATCCCAGTGATTGGGCAGAGCGTGCAGGTCTTTAGCAAGCTGTAGTACAAAGCAAGGAGCAGTCCAAAAGGATTATGCCTTGGTCATTGCATTTATCAGTCTTATTCAGGTTTGTGTGAAGTTAATATGTGGCTATGTTTTTCCAGGAAGAGACCATCACTGGAGGCTTAAATTTCAAAACAAGATTTTATTCCACAGCTTAAGGCCACAAGTTTCTAATTCAAACAGTACACAACCACTTGAACTGAGAGGGTGCAGTGTAGAATGGAGGCCGAGTTAGCAAGCTGTGATGAGCTAGCAAACCATTTAGCATGGGCTCCTCACTGGTACTGGGGGATCCACTGGGGGATAGAAAGAGGGAAAGGAAGGAAATGAGAGTACAGCAACAGTACCAAAGGAGGAATAAGAAAAGGTAGCAACATTGTTTGCTCCAAAAAGAGTAAGGATGATGCTCTAGACAATGTCTAGTGGAGAAGTGTTGCACAGAAACGACCTGACCTTTTAAGAATTATTCTAACAAAGAGAAAAGTAAAAAATCTGAAGCTATCAGACATAGAAAAAAGCTACTGCTTTTTAAACTATGTTTAATAATTTCATTGTGTCAGATACAAGTACTGCTAACCCATAGAGAAAAGTGTAAATATCAGCGGGAAAAATAGCACCTCTTTAATAACTTCACACATTAGAAAGCCACAGTTGATAAACACAGTGCTATTATTCAGGAACAAATTGCTAGCATGCATATTGTAGCTTTGCAGAAAACATTTCAATGAACTGAGAAGATAAACTGCCTGGCTTTACTGGGCCACAAAAGCATGTGTCAGAACATAAATGGGAGTTATAAATAAGATCTCTGCTAAACTGTTGTATTATGCCTAAAACTATAAAATTGATTGGAAAAGGCCAAGAAATGAGAAAACACAGAGGAAACTACAGCAAGTCAATCAACTGCCATGTGCAACTGAAAAATATTAAAAGAGAAGGTATCCAATACTACAAACTGGCCTTTTTTCAAATCTCATGATTTTTTTGGTTTTGTGACAGAAGCTTTTTTTCCCAGCTTAGCATTTTGATGGGAATAGAATTTTAAAAACACAATAAAAGACTTCATTCAGTGTTCCAGTAAATAAAATATTTTTGCATGCAAAATTCTTTCAGAGACAAATTTTCCAAGTTATTCACCAGAAGCTCAATGCATTTCCAGATTTGCATTTTAGTCCTTTACCTAGATATGAACTATGATTTCGGTCCTGAAGAATTTTCTCGAACACATTGCTTGGAAAAGTAGTAACTCTGTTTGAAGACTCCTGAACTACTGTTCCACTCCAGTCATAAGCCCCAACAGCACCCAGCAGCAGGACATCCTTTAAAAAGTGAAAGTCAACACTTTAGAGCTGCTTACTTCAGAAAAAGTGTAAACAACAACAACAACAAAAAAAACAACACCAAACAGCTGAAGTTACCATATGTAATTACATAAAACATCATTGTGTAATGATGTGCAGTCTAATGACTACAAGCAGCCGATGTGAGTTGTTTAGTTTTCATTTGCATGCTGGACCTTACTACCCTATTAAAAAGGATTTCCACCCCTCTATTGCAAGAGGATAAGTGACAGCTTTAGTTCCTGGGCACTGCAACCCAATTTTCCTACGCCTGGCTTCTCTAGAGCTGGTCTTGCTAAGCCTACACTTTTACAAACTCATGATCTTTGGAAGAGTGTCAAAATTGATTTAATCAAAATAATCTTAAAATTGATTAGCATGAAGAATTTATCTGATTTATTATACTAATTTCTAAATGAGATGTTATTTAAGCAAGTATTATTGATTTTATAAAGATTGGAGAAATTATTTTCTGTCTATTTATATAGAGGTCAGAGCCCAGAAATACACTATCATCACAGTATTGTTCCAGTTCTTCTGAGCTATTCAGCTGCAGAATGTCAACTTCAGTGACTGAATTTCTCATGATAGGTGAACTAAAAAATTGATGAAAACATTAGATTAAGTTTCTCAAAATCATTACAGTGAAGTGGTAAGAATACATGTAGCTGTCACTTAGCTTCACTTATGAACAAATATTTTGTCTTTTTGGGAGAACACACCATATTTTAGAACTCAATTTCGTGTTTTTCTGTTAAAAAAACAGATCATTTGACATTCTCCTGTTATAACAATCTTTAAAAAATTGTCAATTTAAAATCTTACACAGTTGTGTTTCAATGCAGTATGCCTATGAAATAGAACCTACTTATATCATTGAATAATTAAATTCATATACCTTTTTTTGTGAGAAATACGCGCTGAACCCCACCTGTGACATTTCCATTTGGAATGTATCACCTTGATCTGTACCTGGTAAAATAAATGTTCACATACAGTTAACCCTACAGAAGAACACAGAGAGATCCAATCCTGCTGCTTACAAGTATAATTTTATAGAGTCCCTATGTAACTCCATCTTTTCTCCAATCCACCATTTCTGTTAAAACATTTGCAAACAATTGAAAGCAGATAAACGTTAAAATATTTTCATATTTTACTGTCAGCTGGCTAACAGTATTGTATGGAGTCATGTTACAAGACTTCTCCAAAAGAGGCAGATAAGGATGGCCTGGATCAGCCTGCATGGCACTGCAGCTAATCAGCTTTTACGTTCTATAGGAAGCACTAGAATTACACTAAATCTAACAGCTTTAGTAAGTGGGTATTCACAATATAATTCACTTTCCAATTAAATGACAACTGTTCTATTTGTCTTCAAAATACCATGATGTGCAGGAACATTTCCTGAGCTTGTTGGGTGAGAGTCAAGTAACAAGAATTCAACAGAAACACTCAGCAAAACTCTAGAAAGTGAAGCTCAATTGATTCACTTGAATATAGTAACACTAAAGCTATAAAAAGCTCTGTAGGATGAGCTGAGGTCAGGTCACAGGTCTACTGAGTAAGGCGTAAATTTGATTTTAAAATGCTGGGTGTCAGGAGGATGAAGTGTCTCTGGGCCACCGCTGGTATACCCTCATCCAAAACACACATGGATGATGCCAGGAACAGAGTCCAGCAGAAACCACACGGATTGCATTACCATAGCTTTTCAGCTTTGTAAAAGGTAACTCAATCTTCTGACTTGCTTTTTATCTTTACTCTTGCTTAACATTAATAAACACAGGCAGAAAGATCTCTTTACTTGCCTAGTGATAGCAGCTCTAAAAAGATTTTGATGCACATGGACAAACCCTTGGCGGATGCCTGAAACTGAGGACTCAAGTGAAATTTTCTGAAACTGAGGAACAATTCCCACTAATCTGCAGAAAAGTGAAGCTCAGGCTTATTAGGGCTTTAGTAGCTTGTAAAAACCACAGCCCTCCTGGGGAGCCTCAAGCAGCCTGCAGCTCCAGCTGCTCCTCCTTTTGACACCAAGGTGAAGACAAACACAATTCTCACTCCCCAGCTGGGAGAATCTTGTCTAATATTTCAGAGACATTGGGTATTTTACCTTCTATGCTAAAAATACGCTCTCCAAGTGTTCCTGCTTCTTCCAGTAGTGCAGCCTCAGATGACACATTAAAGAAATACTTGTCTGTTGGATGACTAGCAATTCCTTTGATTTCTTTAATTAAGTTTTTAGTATCAAGTTCATTCCTGATTAAGTATCCCAAAACCTGGGGGAGGGGGGGAGGGGGAAACAAAATAGAAAAGCAGGGGATATCATGTTGTTACTTCATTTCCTTGTGTACCACTTGAGTGAGCATTCCATATATGACAACAAAAATAAAACTAATTTCATTAATATTAAAGAACTGCTAGTGTTACTATACCTTTACAATGGACCACTCAGACAGGAAAAATACATAAACCAAAGCAAAAAATTAAAATAGTTTTGCTTTTTTTAGCCAGTTAAAGAGGTCCTATATTTCACTAATTCATGAAGATACATTTAACCAAATTTAAGTTACTGTGTTATTATATTATATAATTATTATATATAGAACATGCACCTTATGTACACACAATAATATGATCTTTCCAAATCTGTCATACTATAAGTAATTATTACTTACAGCAATGCCAAATCTTGTTATATTATCTTCATTGCATCTACCTATCACAGTTTTCAAGTTGGAGCCATCATGCGATTCACCATCTGTCACAACAACCATTACTTTGGTGGCTGTAGGCCGTCCCCCTGACTCAGCTGAGAAGGCATACTGTCTGTTATAAAACAGTGGGTTTACCAGATAAAAATTCACAATGGATGGAATTATATATATATATACTTCAATGAACATGTCTATCACCGACATAGAAAAAGGAGCATTTTGTAATACCAGAATAGCTAGGAAATGCCTAAACTAATTTCAAATAAAAAGGGATGAATATTAAGAGTATGCAAATTTGACTGAAGGTTGATTTTTTTCCCTAAATAATATTTTCAAGATCATTTAGACTTCCAGCCACTTATGCCTATAGCCCTTTCCTAGATCCAATCACAAAATAGCACCTGCCTATTGAGAAACACACCTGGATTGTATGTGTGTCCAGAATTCACAGTATATCATTTAAATATTTTTCAATTTTTTCATGCTACTAGTGATGCAGTGACAAGCAGACAAGGTACTTCTTTTCCCTATATTTAACAAAATGACCTTAAAACTCATACGTTACCAATTCCACTAAATCTCTGGCAATTTTTCACTCCTTTCAATTATTTTATATCTCTCCCAAAACTTTTTCAGTGGTGCTTGATGTGAGATGTATGTAGTGGGTACCAGAAATACTTACCAGAATTCATAGAATCATTTGGGTTTGAGGGACCTTTAAGACCATCTAGTTCCAACCCCTTGTTACGGACACCTCCCTCTAGACCAGGTTGTTCAAAGCCCCATCCAGCCTGGCCTTGAAGCTTCCAGGGTGGAGGCATCCACAGCCTCTTGGTGTCATGTGCCCTCAACTTGATGCCATTTGCAAATTGGGTGCACAGCTTAACGCAAAGGTTAAGGACTTGATTTCAGCAAGCTGACTTTACGTATCCTTGACCTGCATTGCAGGTGATGCTACATGTGCACCCGATGTGCAGTTACTGGCATGCACCTATTTACAAATGCACCTCCTTGGAGACTAAAAGGACGTGTGCTCTCAGAGGAAACCAAATGCAGGATGTGCTCCTTGACTTGTGAGGTAAATTATGATAGAAATCATACCACCCTAATCATCAGCACACTTTACCTTGCGTAGTCAATGGCTTTGAAAGTATTAGTCAGATCTCCTCCCTGCTGAAACGTTTTCTCTGTTGCATTAACAACATCATCCTTTGTTCGGTACTCATTCAACTTAAACACTACACGGGGATTATTTGCATACTGAATTAAACCCACCTATGAAATGAAAAATTTACGTGAAGTTATCATGTATTACAATCACTTACATGGTATCATGATGCATATCTATTTGTCAAGCAGGAGTAGAAGATCTGCAGATGCATACCATTTTCTTTCAACATATAAAACCAATTTATACTAACTAATTTGGAAATAAAAAAAAATCTAAATACTCTTGAATCTTACAGCATTTATTATGGACTACAACATGTTAATGCAAAGAATCTGAAATAGTAGGCATTTAAATGTTTGGTTACTTCTGGAAGAACTTAGGGACAGCAGTAACACAGTGAGCTATGCAAAAATCAGAAAATAGCAAGAATTCTACAAGCTGAAAGCACCTCATTTTGATCTTCTCTAGGGAAGTCCTAAGGGTTAGTTTCTCGACAGCACTGCAAACCTTACTTACTTTCAATACAGGTGAATACTATGGAAATACGTTAAGATGTACATGTAACACGAAAGAAAAAAGAAGGGAAGATGGTAAAGGTAAGGTTTAGAAAGGACTCATGACGCTGAGCAGGAAGCCTGACTTTTAAGCACCTCGCTTCCAAAGTAGCCCAATGAAGAAGGCAGCCTTTGGGAGAGAGATTTCCAGTGCCCAGACTTTGTTCCCAGAATTGTTTATGGAAAATGGACCGCTGCAAAGACAGAAAATGTTTAAAAGCAGGAAATAAAATTTTCCTTACCATCATCAGAATAAAATGAGAAAAGAACTCAAAGATCAGACAATAATCAAGTGGGGAAAAACTCCTATTTTAAAGATACAGCAATTGGAAAGTATAAGCCATTTGAAAACTTCCCACAAAAAAAAACCCAAAAACTCAACAAAGACAGACACACACAAATTTACTTATACTACATTTCCACAGACTATATTTTAATTATTTTTTATCTATCACATTATCTAATATACATAAAAGAGATCTGTGTCCATTATACGTAATCTAGACTTCTATTTAAGTTGGTCTGCATTTTGAATCAAATTACTAGTCACATTTGGAATAAATTAGGTGTGAGATTAAAAAACCACCAACCAACAAACAAAATACCCAGTACTGAAAGATAAAGGACAACTGCATTATCTATGGCCTTGGGGGACTTACTATTGTTAAGCTAAAACAAACGTGGTTTCCTTTAAAATTGCCAGAATTTGCTAATAAAATCCACTGCTTCCTTCCCATGACCCTTCTCCCAAGGCTGTGTTTTACTTACCTGGGTTTTGTTAATGCCTATATCTAAACCTTGGACAAATTTCTTCAAAAATGCCCGCACAGCATCCCAGGGATAAATGCTGTTTGACTCATCACAAACCACTACAATATCTATGATGGAAGAACACTCTAAAAAAAGAAAAAAAAAAAAAAGTGGACATCAATCTTGATTTACTTACAAGTCTTTGGTGAAATCAAGAGGAGCATATCTAGATCTCATATAGGCAGCACTGCAGATAAGAACGATTTCATCTGAATGAAGACTCAATAATATCACATGGAGATTTTGAATCAGGATCAACCTGCACTGCTCCACTGCAGTGCCTCTGAATTCAGAAGAGTGAATCCAGATTCTTAACAGCATTAGATTAGTATCTGTGAATCTTCATTTGTGTCAGAAAGGCTTATTTTAAGGCTCCAAACACGTTTTTAAAAATCCCAAATTAAAGTGTCCCCAACACAATATATCTTAATTTTGCTTGATCTTTTTTTTTTTTTTTTTTTTTTTTACTGAATCTGTTTTACAAATGTTGTCTTACTTTGAATAGCAGGAGAAAAGCTTCTTAGAATCTGGAAACTTGGGCTGATTTCAGAACAGACTCCTGTTGCATAGTACTGGCTTCCACACTGCTGTGCCCACAAGGGGCCACAAGTCTTTAAAAGTAATAACAAGAAGAAATTATAAAATAACAAGTACTGGTCTCACTGTATCCATATACAAAAGCACAATAAGCTGTATGAAAGGAAGATGGGATAAGATGAGCCCCCATGGGTTATGAGGCTGAGTCTCTTGCTCTCACCACAACTGTATCAGACAATCCCCTTCGTGTATATTCTCATAAAAAGGACTCTCTATTTGTGTCCATCCTGAAGCCTTTGCAAGCTCTTTCTTACAGAGCATTCACATCTATAAAATCTAGTGTGACACATTCTGCCAGGAACCTGTGCTGCTTTAATCTGCCTGCTCTACAAACTATCGATGTAAAACTAGAGTTCATATTTCCAAATTGCTTTCAACCATGTGGTGAAGTTCTTCTATTAAACCAGGAGATGGCATTATATCCACGAGCATCTTCATAGCTCCAGACAGCATGCACTATTAGCCTACACAGTGACAGGACTGACAAGCCTTGCGATCACTGTATCTGCACAAGGATTTATTAATTTGAGAAGACTTGTTCCCAAGGGAAATTAACTTTGCCAAAATATTTGTGAGTTGAGTTTCTTCATGGTCTCCCCAGTTTATACAATCTGACTTAGCTGCAGGCTGCCGCCAAAAGGTAAGTTTGGCCCCCGCCTTCCTCAAAAGTAAGTTTGCTTTGCTGAAAATGATCTCTAGATAAAGAAAATTTTTCAGCTAATCGCATAAAAGTGAGAACTCTAATCTTAGAAGGATTTCTACAGAAGTAACTAGATGAAAAGACAAATACAGAAACAGTACTTCATCAGGATATTTGGAGGTTCTTATTGAAAGAAAACTATATTAGGAACACAAGGAGAAAACATATGACCTCTGTCAACAGTTCTGAAAGAAACTGTGTCCAGTTCTGGGCTCCCTGGTACAAAAAAGACAGGGATGTCCTGGAGAGTGTCCAGCAGCCACAAAGATGATAAAGGGCCTGGAGCATCTCTCCTATGAGGAACGGCTGAGAGACCTGGATCTGTTCAGCCTTGAGAAGAGAAGACTTAGAGGGGTTCTGATCAATGTCCATAAATATCTAAAGCGCAGGAGGCAAAGGGACGAAGCCGGACTTTTCAGTGGCACGTGGTGATGGGACAAGGGGGAATGGCCACAAACTTAAGCATAGAAAGTTATGTACAAATGTGTGTAAGAACTTCTTCACAGTGAGGATGACAAAGCACTGGAACAGGCTGCCCAGGGGGGCTGTGGAGTCTCCTTCTCCTATGGAAATATTCAAGACCTGCCTGGATGCCTACCTGTGCAGCCTGCTGTAGGGACCCTGCTTAGCAGGGGGTTGGACTCACTGATCTCTGGTAGTCCCTTCCAGCCCCTACAGTTTTGTGATTCTGTGAAATGATTGCTCCCATGCAAATATTTTCTGATTCACCTATCAATTCTGTCAAAGTCAGAAGAGTCTGGATAACAGAAAATGCACCATTTCCATGTCAGAAGTGAAAGGAGAGCAATAGCAACATTACTGTTTTGACAAGAATACTGAAAAGAAAAAAAAAGTAATTAAAGACAGGAATTAATAAAAAATGATATAAACGTCAGACAGGATTATCAGTGGCAGATGGCATCAAAATATTCTAATATATTTCATAAGATGGCAATATTTCTAGACAAAAGAAACTAACTATACCTATAGATAAGTTGAAGCGCTCTAGTGTGGTTACAGTCAGAGAAGCAAGATGCACCATTAGTGCAGAGGAAAACTGGTAGATAAGATAAGTAGAACTGATGAACTTGAAAAGTGAAATATCAGAAAGGGGCATAGATTTGTCCTTAAGGACTGATCCCAAGAACTTTGAATGCAAACTGGGAGCTCTCTGCATGGAAGAGACCAAGGAGCAGATGGATCACACATTGTCTGATTACAAGGCGGCATACAAAGGCAAATGTGGCATGAATGGCCTGGAAGTATGTAACAAGAAGCACTTGCAGTTGTGACAGGGAAGTACTAAATACACTGTGCAGTGTCCAGGAAAGATTCATGTGGGATACAGCATACATCTGGTTTGTAATATTCAAGACAGATACATTTTAAAAATCTCATTTTATCCAAAACCTGTTTGACCAGCAAAGAAGAGGATAAAAGAGAATGCTGTACTAAATACTGAAGTGAGATTTTAGATCCTGGAGATGGGTGGGAGCTCCTTCAAATTACTGAACACAGTGTCCCAAGAACAAACTGCTAGGAACACAGACTGGAAGTTAAAAAAAACAAAAATTTGTTAGCCATCAGAGGAATGAAACTCTTAAACTATTCAGCAGGACTAAGCATTCCTACAAATAAAAATGTAACAAGCATGTGCGAATGACTGCCCTGTTGTTAGCTTACTGCAATCACATGACATCAAAAAACTGAACACGCAGAATCCTCAAGCTGCAACACAGGCATGCCAGGAGCTGAGCAGTCTGGAAGAGCTCTGAAGAGAAGCAGGCATGGGCACAAAAGTTGGAGCCTGGGAGGGGAGGATGAAGCATGAGCTGGGTGGGAAGTCCTGAGGACGGTATAAAGAGCCCACTGCAGAGCCCAGCTCCCAGAGTTGTGTCCCAGAGTGAACTCCTGGTTGGCAGCAATGTGCAATTAGGAGCAAAGATAGTCTCCACTTATTGATCAATGCTAGGTGCATGTAAATGACAGGGCTTTTGAAATTCAAGGCAGCTGAGACACAGACAAGCACCCATCTCTAATACTCGCTCTTTCAGAAAAAACTTCCTTTCCCAAAGATGTGGCAAATAGTTCACATCTTAGCATTCCGATTTTTTCCTGTGTGCTTTGCTTTGCCTTGCTACTTCATGCAGTTTAGATAATCATCAATGCCACATGAATCAGGAAATTCTTTTTAACTGAAAAAGTTCATGTATTGCTAGAAAATGCATTTTTTCCTTCCTGAGATGTTTTATTGTCTCAGCCTGCCTGATATTGACTAAAGTAGTTACGCAGGGGACAGTGTTAATTTTAATTAGAGATATTACTCAAGAGATAGGATCACACAGTCTATTCTCAAACCAGCAATCAAGAAGGGAACTGTTGCTGTACTCTGAGCTTATGATCCACCTAAGTAACACTAATAGGACTGCTGGAAAGCTTGTAATTAAATCTGTATCTATCATAGTACTTTAGTGAACTGGGTTATATGGTGGTGAATATAAACAGTTGAATAATTTCATGATTACTAGGAAGATGCAACTTAAAAATAACAAGCTTGAAGGGACTTTCCAATCTCATTTTTCTATACGGTTTCACTTGGTTACTCTACCAAGTGTACATCATAAACTGGTATGTATCTACTTTTCAAGAGTTTTCAAACCTATGGCTAAGACCATAAAAGTGTACAAAACAGGCCTGAATTTACTCTTAGTTACTACATCCCAATTATACAGGCTTCTAGGAGCAGTTTGCAGAATACACACATAAAAATTCACTCCCTCTACTTCACTAACCAAATAAACCATACTGCTAAAGCAAAAACCAGACCCACAGGACTGGAAATCCCAACATCTCCCAGCAGGAGAGAAGTCACTGTGCAAGTGCTTAATGCAGAGTAGAGGTCTCATTTGTCTTCTGAAAGCATAACTAAAGCTATATGAGACTACCTTACAGGTATCCATTGTAAATGGAAATGCTCCTGTAAATGTTTTCTGACCTAAATTACAAAATCTTTAATTATATGTTTGGTGCTTTCTTCCATATAGTATTTTGATAAATGTGGAAGACAACCTGCAGTATCCTAGATAATGAGAGCTTGATTTTAAATCACCCAAAATATGTGTTTACCAAGGCTGCATAATGAAACACATCTGGCTCAGGCTTAACTAAAAACTGTGGAAATTCTAGTTTCTTCAGTGTCTTCCTGAATTTCTTTATCTATTGAATGTATCCTCAATACATACCAAAAATCCTCCTGTTTTTGAGTTCTGGATCAGTGTCAAGCCAAGGTTCATGTCTTCCTTTATCTCAGTCACATTTGGAATATTTATTAAAGCTGAAATAAAAAGCAAAAAAGAGTGGCAAAACACACAAAAAAGCTAAGGAACAGAAGCAATTCAGTAAGTTAGAATTCATTCATGTCTCAGTATCTAACATGCTTCTTCCAAACACCTGCATAATATTTTGAGACAAAAGAAATGAAAACTAACCTTTGTCATAAATTTGCTAGCTAGTAATAGACATTAATTAAGTAGGGCCATTTAAAGTACCTGCTCCCAAGAGAGCAAAGGCACAAGAGAGGAAGAAATTGTCTTCCTTCCAAGTAAGCATTTTTGGCTGGCTTCATAGATGCAGCTGAGCGGCTCCTGTTACATTCCTCAGGATACTAGGGCTGCCCTTATCCAGTAGCACACTTCAGACAAAAATGTGAAAGAAACAATGGAGAAGAGATATGTCACCAAATTAAACATGAAGTACACATCTAAACTACTATACTGTGCTGTACTTATTTTCAGTGTATCCAAAAAGGGATCTCATTTTATACTTAATCTATAAACACACAAAGCAGAAGAGGCTTCATATGATATATACTGACCAAATGAGATTCGAAATGAGAATGTAACAAAAATCTCAAGTATTAAGTAAATGTCTTATAAATATTACTACTACTAACCCTGTCAACAGGGCTGCTACAAATGACAAAGAATATAAGTGTTTATAAAAACAGAACAAAAAGTGTTCCAGAAAAGATATAGAAAACAATAATAATAACCATACTAATATATATATATTTAATGCTATTTAATCAAGGAGCATATAAACAGGACGGAGAATGACTGTTTATGAGGGTGGATAGTGATAGGACAAGGAGAAACGGTTTAAACTGAGACAAGGGAGGTTAAGGTGAAGGGTTGTGAAGCACTGGAACAGGTTGCCCAAGGAGGCTGTGGATGCCCCATCTATGAAGGCATTCAAGGCCTGGCTGGATGTGGCTCTGGGCAGCCTGGTCTGGTGGCTGGTGACCCTGCACATAGCAGGGGGTTGAAACCAAATAGTCTTTGAGGTCCTTTTCAACCCAGGCCATTCTGTGATTCTATGATTATTAATTAAAAATACTTGAAATAAATGATAGAAAGGTTAAAAAAAAAAAAGCTCATATCAGTATCATAAGGTCAATTGTAAAGAATATGCATAAACATTTACCAACAGTTAATTTTAGAACTCAGAAACAGTTAAGTGAAAAAGACAAGAGAATAATATTTTTATTCTTCAAGGAGTCTGAGACCACTGAATACTGAACTTGTCATTGAAAATGAAATTCCTCTGAATTCCTCTTAAGCAACATTCATGCTTACACTGTTGTTACGTGCTTTTGCTACTGGTCTTGCTAGCTTCCAACTATTTCATTAGATAGATGGGTCTGGTACAAAAACAAGGAAAGCCTGAGTAATTGCAATGAGGCATTATTCACTATAACTTACCTTGCAAGTTCAATTTTTTACATGTGGTTTTGGGTGTACCAACAGGACATGCATAGATATCTCCAGTTCTATTTGCTGGATAGCCGCTCCAGGGTGAGCCAACCAATAACCTGAAACAACAGGAATGTCTTTTACCATGCCAAAAGGGCCAGCAGCATTGCTGCAATTAAAGCTGAGGGGATCAGGTAAGGAGGCTTCCACCAGGTATAGCACGTAAGACTTTCAGGAGTTTTCTCCAGAGCTGTTCGGAAGTTGGGTTTTACTTTACTTTACTTATACGTTAATACAGTTGAGTGATGACAGGCAACGCTGACAGGAATGCTTCTAGGAGCATACTGCCCCAAGCACTTATCCCAAAAGGTGTCCAACCTTTTGGCTGGTATGCACTGCACTGAGTGAAGAGGAATTGTATTTGTATTTAGGTTGCTCCAAAAGTCGTGCCTCCTCTTTATTTCCATGGAAACTACAACAGATATAAACAGCACAGTAGCACTATTTGATAGAGCAAGTTGTCAGCCAGGAAGTTCTGTTTTTCAACATAATCACCACTGTTAGCTATGCATTTCAGTCAGCTGCACTCAAAGCATCAGAGAACGTGATCCACTGTCATTGTTGCCTCTGCTGAAACATACCTCACACTGCCACACTGCTCACATTCACTGATGGGCAATCAGACTGCCCTTCTGCTGCCATTTGTTACATGGCAACAAAATGTAATAGGATATCGGTGGGAAGGTTTAATCTCTAATGACATAACACCAACATCCACCTCTGACATTGTGGTCCAACATCCTAAAGTAAGAGACATTACTTTCAGAGCACCCCTCATAAAATATATAATGTAGTCAATGTATGTAAGTAAAAAAAAAATAATTGATTTTTAAAATATTTTTTTTGTTAAAACCTAAAAAAGGAAAGCAGCAAAATCATAAAATTGGTGGGCTATTTGACCCTGTTTTTGTGAAACTATTGCATCAGTCTTCTTCAATGGCAGCTTGAGCTGGCACTGTGCTGCACCCCAAATGCTGGTTTCAGCATCAATAGGGTTAATAGTGCACCAGTGTTCCAGTGGTGCTAAGAGAGAGATTTGAACCCAGGCCGGACAGCAGGTGGCTGCACTGCAAGCTGTGCTGGGCCACATGGAGCCTGTGGGACTGGGGTTGAACCTGCCTGACTTGTACTGTTGCACTTGTGACACTGTGTCACCATGTCGGAAGAAATAAAGCACAGATGTTAATGTACACCAGTGCATACAAATTTAGAAATATATGCATTGTGGAAGGAGAGACAAAGAATTTGATTCTCCCGTCAGGTAACAGTTAACTGCTTCCTTTTCAGTTATTCTTTTAACCAACCGATAAGAAGCACTTCCTACTGGCTCAGCTCAGCAACAGCATGGTTCTTATGTCTGAACTTGAAAGCTGCCACACCTTGACAACACTGAGTAAGAAAGAAAATACTGCAGGTGATAACAGACTGCTGTGTGAAGTATTTAATCCTGAACAAGAAAGTTAAGGCTTCAGTAATTTATGATAGTAGCATGAAATGATTCACTCTCCCCAGCACTTTTCCTCATCTGCAGTTAACATTCCCTCTCCAGTGCCTATTCCTCAAAACACCTGTCACATATTGTCTGAAAGCGTTCACAAAACCAATAAATTCAACCTGTGGAAATGCTGCTGAAGAACACCTGTTTTCCAGTGCCACTCTCTGAGAGAGTGAGACCAGCAGGCAGCATAGGGTAGTGGAGCTCTGGGGGAAGACAATTATTTACACAGTTTAATCTGCAACAAAATGAGGGCAAGGCAAAATATAACTATAGGAACATGATCTCTACAAACACACACACACAAACCACCAAGAAATAGATGATTAGAGAGCAGCAGTATGACTTTCCATTCATGCAGCATGATAATAATTAATGCCTTTGTGGGACAGTAAAAAGGACAAAGAGTGCATCTTTTTTCAGTTCACCAATATATTGGTAGAATGTCAACTGCCATTCCCTAAAATTTCACAGGTAGGTGATGTAAATACTTTGCACTGTAAAATAAATTATTTTATGAAATAATTATACTTTGAAGCAGCTTTCTTGAATGATGATATGCTACTAATTTTTGGAAGACTACCTGATTTTATTGCTCCAATTTAGTAACTAGTTCAAGTAAAATTACTTTGATGAAAACACATAGCTTTAGATGCAGGAACAAAAGTTTGAGTCCTTCAAGTCTCCACAAGGGTCTCAGACATACAATCTGATTTTTGAGCGGTCCAGTATAGAGCCAGGGGTTGGAATGGATGATTCTTATGGGTCCCTTCCAATTCAGGAAATTCTATGATTCCATAATTGAGATTTCTTAAAGCAAATACTGCTACCTGTATTTTTTAGTTTATTCCACATCAGCCAAATGGAAACCTAATCACACAAATAATGTTCTTCTCTTTTATTAGCTCTGTTGCCATTGTGTAGGAATATTTTAAAAATACCTGTCCACTTCTCAATTATCTTAAAGAAAGACAGCAATTGTTTTATTGTGCAGACCAAACAAAGAAAAACTAAGCTAAAAAAGTAAGCTCCCCTAATTCCGTGCTCAAAACGGAATATCTATGCAAACTGTGCCTAAAGCAAATGTAATTATAGCTTTTATTTAGTTTACATTTTTCATATTCCTGGATAATATTTTTGTACCTTTTCTTTGTTGGAATTAGCCTTCAATACAGATTTGTAAGACCCACAAATCTCAACACACAATTACACCATGAGCAAAAAAATGCATCTATACACAGAATTTAACACTTAAAACTCATTATTACTGACACTCTGATTTTCAGAAATTAATTATTAAACATCTTTTCTTATTTGACTTAACTAAACTTTCATCAATATTTTCTTGAGAAAAAAAATTATAAACAATTTCTGCCATGCCTAGCCTACAGCATTTTTTTTTTTTTGTCTGTATAAAGGTCCAAGGAGATAACTTCATTATGATTTCTTTTATATCCTGTATATCCTTACATGAGTTTACTAGTCTTCATCTTCTAAATCAGTAAATCCTGATTGTATTTAAAAAGTAGAAGTAAAAGAAACCATTACAGTACATAGTTACACAACAATGTTCTGGGAAAATGTGTATCTTTCAAAAAAATCAGAAATGAAGAGAGTATCTGACTAGCATCCTGCTACCGACAAAAACATTTATTTACTCTGATTAAACAGGATGTAGACAAAACAGAGTGAAACAGAATGTATCAGGAAAGAATGCAAAAAATGATTACTAAAATACTTGAAAATACTTGTTTTAAAATAAATTGTATCATGCACAGTATATTAGTTATGGGCCTTTCTTAGGCATGGGTTAAATATTTATTTTAACAAAACATCATTATGTATCTTTGTAGAGTAGCTTTATATAATATCATTGTGATCACTGTGTAGTATTGGCACAGATTTTATTAGTCAGCTCTTTAATCAGTCTCCAACACTATATACAAAGCATGAAGTCAAGTAAAGTTCAGCAGCAACGCCATACCACACAGGCTGAAGGAGAGGCAGATCAAAGAGTAATGGGAATTATTTCCGTGAAATTACACCATGACAAAGCGAGTAACTGGCAAAGTGTGATGTTGCAAAAAAAATCAGAATTCAGGGTGAAGGGCTACATTCCCAGCTGTTGTCAAAGCAGTTTTTTAATTTAATGTTGCCTTGTTGACTTTTTAAAATGCATTTGTTCTTTAGTGCAATTTCTAAACAGAGAATACTAGCTGCAAATTGCAATAATAAAAGTAGAAAGGATCTCTTGAATCATCTGGTTCTTTCCCCTTCAACTACAGGAAGTGATGAATAGATACGAAGATCAGGAATCTTTTCACTCTCACAGCTACTTCTCTACACATCCTAAAGCCCTGATCACCATCTAAAATTTCCAACTCTTTGAACAAGATACTTAAAATCTCAAAAACTATGAATTATGGCAAGAATTCAGACTGATAAACTTAGAAGGCCATGAAGACAGAAGCTGGGAAAAGACAAACTAGGTCATGCAGCTGATAAGGAAAAATCCTACAAATCCAATGTTAGCAGTTGCTGCTAACACTTAAAAGCAAGAGCTGTAACAATGGCAGCATTTTGATAAAAAATAAAATAAAATTGGCCAAAATGCATTCTCTTAATATGTAAATGTATCAATTTCAATCAGAGGTGCTCTGGAAATTGTGTTTTTGTCAAAATGTCTTTTTGGTTGAACAAGTCAGCAGATTAACAGATCTCCCTAGGAGAGAGACTGCTATATTTTGATCAGTAATCAACATTTTACAATCATTTTTTTTTACATCTGTTCAGTAGTGCAATGATTATCTGATGCTCCAGAAATGGTAGTGCATGTCAAGGTATTTCATAACTGACATGATATTAAATGTAACAAAAATATAAAAAATGCAAAATCCATACTGTAAGTTGCAAAACAAACTTCAAAAATCCCAAATTCTAAGCACACATATACAACAGAGTAGAGTGGCTGCAACTTCATATCAAACATCACACTGAGCTTTTAGTCTATTAGCTCTATTGTGGAATGTATCTCACAATATATTAATGAAATAACAGAGAATTTCTTCTCAATTTAAGGCTCAAATGAAAATAATCTCATGACAAGAAGAGCCATGTGATAAACTCGGTGATGTTTCTGTTGTGGCTTATTACTTGCATGGCTATCTGCCTCTTTTTTTTTTCTATTTGACAAGTTTCTTCAATGTTCACAATTTTACTTGACCTCATTAAAGAGTTCCTGTCTGAAAATTCCCACCAGACATTATGAAAAGCTTGAGCTTTGCATGGCTTGCAAATCTGTCCTTATTTACAAGCATCACATGCCATCAATGCACAGCAGATCAGTGTCCAATTATCCTGGATCTTCTGACTCTACACAAAAAGGGCTCCCTTGCTGGTTTGTGTCACAGCTTCCCTACATACAGTAGCCCCCTCTATATTCAAAAGCAAAGTCTAGGAAGTGATGAAATCCTTGTGGATCTTAGATTCTGGACAATCTCTCCCTTGGAGAGAGCTGCCACCTGTGGTGTTTGATGTGGAGAGAAACTCCATTATGCCCAAATAGATTTTACAAGTGCATCACGCACTTGCTGCACAGTGATGGTCTTGTCATAAAAGCACATGGTGATAAATGTTCCTTTCTGATACAAGGCAGCATCCCACCCTTGTGCAAGGCCTCAGTGTGTCTACCTCCCTCCTACCTCAGACATGTCAGCCAGTGCTCTGTACATAGACTGCAGTCAGTGCATCACCTATAGGAAAAATCAACTCTAAAGCAGCTTGAGTGCTTTTAAACAACATGCACAAGCAAAAGTGCTATTGCCCCAGTAAAAAGAAAATAGCCTAGATAAGAAGAGAACAAGAGAGTAAACTATGAGTGATGTTTTTTCCAGCATGTTTAATAGTTACTTGAGAAGATGACTGAAAAGAGCTTTTCTTCATTAAGAGTTTCTAACAAGCCATGGTTACTAAAACAGCTGCTAATAAAATTCTTCTGAGTTTTGGAGTCATGGTCAGACATTACGCAGTGAGTGAATAAATGATGAAGTGCCTATTTGCAGAATACAGCTCCAAATCCATAATACTCACATAGATGGGAGAATAGATAGAGAAAGTAAATCCAAATTTACTTTCTTTCCCAACTTCAGCATACCAGCCAGTAAATTTGTAGTGAAGGACTTATTATATTGGAACTAATTATAAAACAGAGACAATAAAAGGACAAAAATATCTTAGTTGAGTCCTGAACCTGGTGTTCCTGTTGTAAGCTTAAAGAGAAATTTGTAAGGATAAAATGCATCACAATTTTTTCAGAAAATACCAAAGCACTTAATTGACTTTCGGCAAACATTCTTGCTCTCCTTCAATAGTTTCACACAGAAGTAAGAGTGCTCAGAACTATGGGTGACTAAACACATAATTAAGGCAAGCAGAAACACAGCAAGAAACTGCTACTGCAACCAGCAAGGAGCAGGGAAATTTCATGCCCAAAGGAATGAGAGGAAACACTGAGCTTCTACTCGGGATACAGCTGTGCTCTCTTGCTTTGTCTCCTGGTCATCAGCAGTAAACAAGTAATGCAAGAGAAGCAGTGGGACCAAGGAAGTCTTACATTTTTCCATATGCAACAGACTGTGCTTTGCGCAGTGACTCTGTATAGTAAAGCATCTCTGCTAGCTCTTACAGTTTTGTCCAGGCTTTTGCAAACACTGAGATCTTCATATGCATTTCCATCTTTCTTTTTACTGAAAAATAGTTTAGCTGCTTACTATCTGTCCATCATCAATTAAACATACCAGTTTGTTACTTCTTTGGTTCTGATATTGTTTCAATCTATAGAGAATGACACATCTAAAATATTATCTCAGCTTATGATAATATGTATAGCTTGTATGACTTTCCATTTGGTCCCTGCCATAAAAGATGTCTTAAGCTTTGTGGTTGCTGAGACTGCAGAAGGAAAAAGTACAGTGTGTTTAAATGTAAATGGTTTAATATTTTAAAGTTCTTTTTGGAACCAACATTACCAGAAAAAATATTTTACTAATTACTCATTAAGCTGAATGTTGTGGCAACAGTGGACTTCACGTGAAATTTTAAGCTTGAGGAAATGCAGCAGACATCCTTTGCTAAGATTACGTTATGATACACATCCAAATACGTTGCCCGTAAGAAGCAAACAACATTATATCAGAAAAAGATGTACAAAGTTTAAGTTCAGTTAATTTTAATAACTAGAACTCCTTAGCCCTATTGATTTGTGTTAACTTTGCTAAAATTAAAGTAGAAAATATCCTTAACATATACAGTGTGTAACAGGTATGTTATGGCTACAAGAGCGACTGAGATCAGAATTAAAATGCTACTAGGAATCGTGAATCTGAGGAGAGTCATACATTGGAAGGGAAAGTAAAAGATTAAAGGTGATAAAGACTTCATATTACATGGTGTAGAGGAAAAAGAACCCAAGCATTCAGATGAAGGCATCTTCAGAACATTTTCACTTTTGTTTTAATAAAGTCAGTATTTACTAGTAAAAAGATTAATATAAGAATGAACTAATTGCAAGTCCCTTAAATGAAATCTGGAATCATAAAATAAAAATAAGTTGCAGTATTTTTTGTTATCCATTTAGTTGGACATTTTCAAGGTATTCAAACTGCTTACCATTTGCCTTGCTCATTTATGAACTGTTGAACTGCATATCCAAACTGCTCTCTTGATGGACCAGAAAATATTTTTGCTTTAAGGAGCCCAACATTATAGGCTTCACAGCAGTTATGAAGAAAACCTGTTAACAAAAAGATTATTATTACTACAGAAGCAATTAAAGAAGAATTTAGATGCTGGTGAAAACATTTTTTCATCTGTGCCAACTGCCACAACAGAAGAAAAAAAAACATAGCCTTTGACACATGCAATAAAAGCCAGCCTATGGCACCCATCTGCCCTGCCATGTGTATGCCTGTCTAGTATGCTGCACAGGTGTTATAATATTGTAGCTTAATGACTCATTCACTGTTTTGCTCAGCAAATCTTGTGGCATTACTAATGAGAGCATTTTAGCTGAAGCGAAGCAGAAAATGTGATTCAGAGGTTCTTTACATTAAGACATAAGCCTATGGCCCACCCAAATGCATCAGCTGCCTGCTGAGGTATACTGAAATGAAAGTTCACAGAAAGTAATTATTGATACTGTTTGTATTCTAGTGCATCTCTGCAATTTAATGTTTGAAACACTGGAACAAAATCAGATTACCTACTGCATCAGAGAACCTATGGTTTTTAGTCATTTCATTATCATAGCCTGTTTGTTTTCTGTCCAAACAGCCAGAACGGTTGTCCAAACAGGAAAACTTAGAAATACAAACATGGAAGTTATCACAGCATTAATAAACTATGGAACTTAATATTGAAACCTCGCTTTGCTGTGACCGTGATATTAATTACTTTGTGTTTGGAAATGCAGGGATCCACTCCTCATTCATAAAGGATCTGAGTTCTTTCTGATGAAGGTCTGTAAGAGGATGTTAAGAAGAATGTCTGCTACAGAAGTTGCAGGAATTTTGTTTATTATTACACACTGTATGTAATTAGAAATCACTAATTGCCATGAGTAGATTATTCCCCCCTCCAGGCAGAAGGATTGAGACAATGGCGAGATTCCAAGAATAAGATACAGCCCAGCTCATGGACACCTTAGTGCCCCAGGAAAGTCTCTGAAAATGACAGCAAAGGAAGAAATGGTGACCTCTGCTTGCACTGCTGAGGTTCCCAGGTGAGGTTAGTTCACAGAGTTGCACACTGGTTAAACAACATCCCTCATGCTTTCCCTCCCTTCCTGTCTATCCAGACAGGAAGTGTTTTATCTACTCTACACACAAAATATGTCTCATCACAGTTTTTCAGTACGAGTCATTCTGTAGTAAAGTAGAGGTCTTTATAACAATCCCTTATAACATTGATCACTTAAGGAGATATGTACCGATCTTTTGCTGTTAAAACTCTGATCTAAGATCAGATAATTGTATTTCTCTAGCTTAGATGTGTGGAGTGCTAATTGTTGGTTTTACACTCTTCCAGGTCCCTAAAACAGCTTCAGCAGAGAGTTCAAGCACAATTAAATTGGCATACAGCAGCCCATCACAGCAGCTTAGCTGTAATAGTACAATGACATCATAGTGATAACATCAAAATCACAACTGTAGGTTTGCAAGCAAAGTTCACTACATGCAAAAAAATTCAATGACTTTCATATCATAGCCATGGAATACAAAGCACAGAGGTTATGCAAAAGACTAAATGCAATTCACACACTTACTACTTTTTGACCACAAACTCAAAACAGGAAATCATACATTAGTTATTTCAAACAACCACTATCTACAGCTGGCCTTTGGAAACTAAACAATTGCCCTTTGCTAGAAATACAGTTCCTTGAGAAACATCATTAGAGAGAAAAAGTATTTTCTCAGCCATGTTATTTGAGACTGGAAGAGAATATGTACAGACACACCACTCTGTGTATTGCAATACTTCTGACAGTAATTACAACCACTTAAAGTTACAGCTCAAATCTAGGTTTAGGAAACAGAAAAAAGGAGGGAGACAGATATTAACCATATGTAAATTAAGATTATTGTAGAAACTTTGCCACTAATTCTTTGGTGATCTAACATATTTGCATTTTATCAAAATATTTTGCTTGTGTCCCATCCTATTTATTTTTATTTTGACAACTATTGTTTTTAAGTTACATTACACTTGGTGAGAAATCACAGAATCATAGAATCGCCAAATGGTTGAGGTTGGAAGGGACCTCTGGAAATCTTCTGGTCCAAATCGAGTATCATTTAGTAGTAACTCATTCTCAGACACCATAGGAGACTCTACCATAATGCCGTTGTATATTTTAACTTCCTCATGCAAATTCAGGGAAAAAATAACTCTACAAATCAGGTGATATACATGCAAATAAAGTTTGGATTTGGAATTAAGGGCCAAAATATGTCACTTAGAAGCATACTGTATGACTTTCCAAGTCTGTATGCTTACCTCTGCATCCTTGCACTGAGTTACTGGTATCATCAGTTGCTGTACATGTGCTATTAGGAAGCAATGCAGCTTGTGGCTACACCTTACCTGGATGGAGTTAGGCACAGAGGATAGGGAGAGCCCAACTTGTCTAACAGAAAGTAAAGAGATTTTATCTTAAAATAAAGATTTTATCTTCTTGATATCATCTACCAACACTGTAGCTATCCCAGATGATACTTGCAGCTCTGGAATAAGGTGCCAAAAGGTAGACTTCCGTTTGAATGACTTAGTGAATACATCTTAATACTGCTGCTGCTACTGCCCACTGTCACTGGGAAAAAGGGAGTACGATCACACTTTAATGCTCCTGTGTTTCAAAGATATATGTTATTTCTAGCCTGCTAGCTGAATTGTTACTTAGCCAAATATATTCTAAGTGCAACTTAGCCAACTTAGGTGCAAATGCATTGGTGATTCCTCCTCATGTGTCCCAGACTATGGTACTATTAAATACAAGAATAAGGGCAAAAATTGCCAGAAGTTTATAAAACGGCAAACACCAGATGTCACAAATAACAGCCTGAAGAGAATTTCCCATGTTGACTGAATTTCATATAGGGCATGGTGTCGAATTAGATAGGGTTTGAGAAAACACCGGCTGGGTTGCACATTGCCTGTCCATCTCTCCCCTTGCCTTCCTGTGGGCACTGCAGTTCTCCTCAGACCAACCACATGTTAAAAAAAAATAAGATGAAGTTAAAAAAGAAACCAGAAAATGGAGTGTCTAGGGAGGAAGTGTCATCTGCAATATTCTTGTGTATCAGCTTTGCTTCTTACTACTACTTACTACATGACTACTTGCAAAATCAAAGTAGAAAAGCAGGCAAATACATCTGACTCACTTCCGACATTATTAAGAGGACCGCAGTATAAAAGTATTTCAGTGACAGTCATTTTATGCTCCATATTTTGATAATTTTTAGCAGATTTTTTTATTTTAAATTTATGTCACACACATCAGGTAGTGTACATGCAAATAAACCTTGGCTTTGAAGTGAAAAGCCAAAAGAATCCTATGGCTGTGGTAAGGTCTAGAGAAGAATAACATAGCAGGCATTTTCCTGCTTTTTTCTCCATTTCATATTGTGTTACGGTATAAAGACATATTTTATCCATTTTGTACATCTATATATATACAGTATTCAAAACAAGAAATTCAAGCATTTGTAGCAAAGAAAAAAACGAAAAAAAAAAGAAAAAAAAGAAACTGCCGTTTGCTGCAAACCTATTTTAAGACTGTTCCAGAATAAGAAGGTCACTTATGCATTAAAGGAATGTAAACTACTGAAGAATCTGAGTTCAAAGTACTGTATATTCTAGGCTGAAAGATTCAGTATCTGTTTCTGCCTTCAGGAAATGAAATTTGATAATCTGAATATCTCAGAATAAAGAAAACTACTCCACTATCTGGATTTTAATAGCTTTTGGTGGCAGAATATTACTCTGTGACCTAACAATTGCAATGAGAAATTAGTTAGGCAAGGAAAAATCCACTTCGCAACTTCTGTCTGTAAATGACAACCTAATTACAATCAAATAACCAGACTTCATGGAACAAACGAGGCCAGATGAAAGCCTGAAGTTTCTGAAGGGGCCTCTGAAGACTTCAGTGTGTTTTTTTTCTCTTCACAGGCTGGATAGGGAACATAAGTGCTTTGGTTCAAAGGGGAGTGCTCCATCAGGCAGTGAGGCTCCCAGCAACATTTCAGAAAAAAACAGAAGTTAGAAAACAATCTGTAATAGAATAAAAGAGACTGCAAGATATCTAATGAAACTCTAGTACCAAACTGCATTGTATTCTTTCTGGTAATCACTATGTTTCAATGATTATATTCTACTGTATACGAGAGATGCAGTATAGTTTTTTGTACTGTTTTTATACATATGCACCTCTGTTTTCTTGCTTTTAGTAGGATGAAAAATAACACAAGTCCTGACTGAGTACCTTTAAGCCTGAACATGTGGGAATTCTTCTGTAACTATAAAAGGCATGTCTAATAATGGCTATAACGTCTTCGCTACTATTGTACTAATAAGTACAAGTTGAAGCAAGTTTCTTGAAGCAATGGCTTATATAAGGTACCCTGAGTTTGTAATTATTTTGCTTTTGTAAGCAAAATACAGAGATTTATGTGAGCAAGTATAAAATACTAAGTAATCAATCATTTAATGTCGTGATTATAACAATAGTGGCTGTAACCCTTTCTTTTTATTAAGGAGCAAAACAAAAAAATAAAGTTTAAATAATAAGATGAGAAGAAAAAAAGAAACATGACTTTGTGTGTCTATTAATAGAGTCAGAGAATCATAGAATCACTCAGGTTGGAAAAGGTCATTGAGTCCAACCATGACCTACCCTAACTAACAACCCTCCACTAAATCATGTCCCTGAGCACCACATCCAAATGGTTTTTAAACATACTCAGGGATGGTGACTCAACCACCTCCCTGGGGAGCCTATTCCAGTGCTTAACAACCCTTTCTGTAAAGAAGTGTTTCCTGATATCCAATCTAAACTTACCCTGGCACAACCTGAGGCCATTTCCCCTCATCCTGTCACCAGTGAGAAGACACCAACTCTGCTCTTGCTGTAAGATAATGGAAGAGAACAATAAGGTCTCCCCTCAGCCTCCTTTCCCCTAGTTCCTTCAGTCTCTCCTTGCAGGGCATATTCTCCAAGCCCTTCACAAGCCT